TGACTTTTTCCTTTGTGTCTGATTTTCAGAAGATTGGCTATGATGTGTCTCAATTTGGATTTGTGTTTGTCAGGTGTGAGGTTATGTCTTGACAAATCTGGGAAATTTTCAGCCCTTCTTCTCTCCTCTGAGAGTCCAGCAACAAGAGAGATGGTCTTTTATTATTGGCCCAGAGCTCCCCGAGGCCCTGCTAATTGCTGTAAATCTGTTTATCTCAGTTATTCAGACTGAGTACTTTCCATTGTTCAGGCTTCCAGTTCACTGATTCTTTGCTCTGTCCCTTCATCCTGCTGCTGAGTCCACCAGTCTGTTTTCTATTTGGGTTACTGTGGTTTTCAATTCTAAAACTTCCATTTGGTTCTTTGTGTCTGCTGCTGCTTTTCGGAGACTTTAAGGGCTTTGTTGTGGGCATGTGATTCTCGTGGAGTACACCCACCGTGGATATGCTAACGTCTCTACCATCCTTGTGCTGATATCTGGGAACTGTCTTTTAAAAAAACATTTTATTTACTGATTTACTTTTAGAGAGAGAGGAAGGGAGGGAGAAAGAGAGGGAAACATCAGTGTCTGGTTGCCTCTAGCATGCCCCCTACTGGGGACCTGGCCTGCAACCAGGCATGTGCCCTGACAGGGAATCAAACCTGAGACCCTGTGGTTCACAGGCCGGTGCCCTGAGCCACACTCGTCTTTCCCATTCACTTGGAGCTCTTCCTGGTTCTGGGCATGGTGGTGACATCCCACCAACACTGGACGTGCTGGTATTGCTGCGAGACTCTGGACCTCAGCCAACCCGTCAGCTGACGTTTGCTGACACTCGACTCCATCGGGGAGCTCGGGCTCCTCGTTGCCACGTGGGGGAGGCAGTCCAGGCTCCCGGGGTCTCGGGGCTCCTCGGTGCTGCTGGGTGAGCAGGAGTTCCGGCCCCTCACTGGGCCCCACTGAGCCTCCCCGGATGGGAGGGGTGGGCCCGCCTGGTGACTGCTCCCTGCAGGGTGTCCCACCACCTGGGGGAGGGTGAAGGTGCAGGGTCCCGACCCTCCCCCGGGTCTCCAGGGCACCCCACCTGGTGAAGAGGACAAGGGGTGCCTGCTGCTGGGGGGGAGGGGAGTAAGCTCTTGTCAGAACGATGTCCGAATGGACCCTGTGGGCAGTGAGGCTGGTCACCAACCAGCCATGGGGTGGGGGGGTTGTTCAGCTCCCTACGTGGCCTTTTCTTGCTCCAGCCTGGCCGGGAGTGTTGGGACGCCTCCTTACAGCCCCGAGGGCAAAAGTCTGGGCTCCCCGTTGGTGCGGGCCTGTGGGGACGGAGCCAGAGTCTTCTGTGTTCGCCGCAGTGGTGGGGGTGGGCGGAGGGCGGTCTGGCCTAGGGTTTTCTGCCTCGTTGGGCTGCTCTTCCCTGGGCCTCCCGCCGAGGGAGCTGGCTTTTGTGGGAGCTTTCTCGCACACCCGTTGGCGGTGCTGGGCCGACAGCTTCTCTGACGTCCACTCTGAGATCTCTGGGGCATGCCCCCTCTGGTGGTCCCCCGGCCCCGAGGTCCCCCGGGGAAAGTCCCTTCTTCAAACCTCGAAGAGTCTCATCCTGTCTATGGTGGGTGGGGAGGAACAGGGAGAGCGTGCGCCCACCTGCTGGGGGCTGGGAGGTCCTGCCCAGTCTTCAAAGTCTCCTGCCTCTCTCCTCCCGAATGGACTGGCTCCTCCTGCTGACCTGCTCCAACTCCTGGCTTTCCTCCCACACACAAGCTCCACCCCTCAGCCTCTCCAGTGGGCTTTTTCTTCAGAAACCGTCCTTGCCGTTCTAAACTCTCTGCTCGCCTCCCTTTTACAGTTTCTTCTATCTTTCCCCGCCTTGTTCATGGTGCAGTGGCTACGTAAAGTGTTTGTGTGACCCCATCCCCAAGACTGGGTCACCTCAGGTACGGTTTCCCTCGAGACCGTCGGCATTCTTGGTATTTTGATGAGTTTTTGATCCTGGACAGTCCTGTTAAATTCTTCTGGAGAATTGTGTTTTCTTGGGCAGGTGCTCAGCCTGCTTGGGCACAGATGGCCCGTGCGTCTCACCTTGTGGGAGGGGCCCGGGGCACGTGCTGGCCCGCCCCCTGTTGTCTCCTGGTGCCACGCTGCTGGGGACCACCCCTGGGTTCTGGGTGCTGGCATGGAGGGCAGTTCAGCTCCCAGGGTGCCCCTGTGCTTCTGGTGTGTTCCGCACGTGGGTGGCCAGGCGCGAGTCAGGTCCCACGGAGCCAGGACACCCCTCTGCACCCCTCCCCCCACACTCGGCTACTCCAGCCAGAGTGGCAGGCTCCCTTCTGCATCCCACGCACTGTTCCTGGCCTTGGGCTGCCCTGGGGTCAGAGCTGGCGGCACAGGCTCCTGCCCCGCACTTGCTCATTTCCTCTGGTGGCTTCCCCAGCCAGCGGCCTGCTGCGCTTCGCTCTTAGAGGCCTCTTTCATCTTGTCCAGTCCTCCTCTTTGTGGTCAATGGGAGGGGCGGGCACCTGTGGGCCTGCCCCCCACCCAGCCCGGCAGGCACTGAGGACCCAGTGCTGCGTCTGTCTCTGCCTGTGCCCGGGGTCCTCACCACGGCCAGTGAGCGGGCCCAGGGCCATCCTCATTTCAGAGACGGTCCTAGGGGGCATCCTGGATGTGGGCGTGGGGTTCATTTCCACAGCCTCCACGGGCCTTTCCTACGGGGCGGAGGGAGAAGAACAGGACTCAGCCCGGCCCTCAGCCCTCCTCTGTCCCTTGGCTCGGCGCAGGCCGCTGCTCTCTCCCTGTGCCCTCTGGACCCGGGACTGAGAGCAGGAACCGGATGGTGGGCCCAAGTGTGAGGAGAGGTGAGGCAGCTCAGGTGCCCAGCAGAGACGGGTAACCCGTGTGGCTGAGTGTTGGTCCTGGAGCTGGCTCTGCGGTGCAGGGTCCACATGCTGCATATTCCCTGAGCCCACACACTGGGGACACCGAGCAGCACTGGCTGTGGCCTACCTTCCAGGACCACATGTTCACAGGAAGAGCCTCGTCCAGGGGCCTGGACAGGAAGCCGGGCAAGGCGAGGACCTGCACGAGGAGCAGCGAGGGGAGGAGCCACGGCCACGGAGGATCTGGGCAGAGCATGCAGGGTCCACGTTTGTGTCCTCAGGCCCTCACTGGGGGTGGGCCTGGGGCCGGGGCGGGAGAACATCAGAGGGCTCTGAGCGAGTGGTCCCGGCACAGAGCACCTTGCCCAAACAGGGTTGGGGGGGTCAGGTTTCAGAGCCCTGGAGCTGGGAAGGTAGGGTTGAACTTAGGAGGTTGCTGTGAGGCCCTCATGGGATGTCCACGTGGCTGGGCCGGTGCCCCCTGGGGGCCTGCGCCGGAGTAAACACGCTGCCTGTCCCCAGGCCTCAGGACCGCCTGCCTCTGAATATTCTGTTTGGAGAGGTGGTTGCTAAGCACATGAACCGCACAAGGTGTGGTCCTCACTCAGGTGACGTTGCCCCCAGGAGACACTGCCTGTCACCCAGCAGGGGCACTGTGGTCCCAGGTGAGCAGTTCTGTTCTAGGGAGGCATCTGGGAGTTCTGCTTAAAGACAGTATCAGGTTAGTACTTCAAAGAGAGAAGGCTGACTCCCGAGAGCCTGGCCAGTGCGCCCTCCACCCAGGAACGCAGTGACGTGGTAAGAGATCACGTGCACTTGTACCCCCACGGCAGCAGCTGGTGAGTCGGGGCAGGGGCGTCAGCCGGAGAAGGGGCATGATCGGCGTTGCAGACATGGCCCCTGGTCAGGGCAGGGCTGCTGCGGGCCAGGCGAGAGCCGGGCCTGCAGTGTAGCAGGCGGCCAGATGGGTACACTGCTGGCACCGACGTGGCCGTCCGCCAGCCGCTATCTGGTGTGGGGGGTAACCTCAAAGCCAGCGTGGCAACTTCAGAACTTCTCGTGTACCTTTAACACAGACCTTTAAGGTTTCATCTAATTTCACACGCGGTGCAAGATGATGCAAAACCCAAGCAACCGCCAGCCTCATGTAGAAAATGAAAGTGCCCCACCTGCGTTCCTATGGTCGGCTCCCCGCGAGGCCTTCTCCGGTGTCCTTCCTGTGCTCACTGACGCGCGGTCCCTGTTTATGTTCCCGTGTGCGCAGGCGCAGACCAGTCCTGGTTGCGTTACTTGTGCGCGCAGGTGCAGGTGGCAGTCTGTTTAATGTGTCCTGTGCGCGCAGGCGCAGACGGCCGGTGCGCCTCCTGCTATCCCGTGCTGTTGCCCAGTGTAGGACGGTGTTGTTCCATTCTCAGTGTCTCCTGTCCAGCAAGCTACTGCTGACCTCAAGCCCTCGCTGGAGGGCTTTGCTCCTGGGGCCTCACCATCAGTCCATGCGGTTCCCAAGCCCTGTGCTCTCGCGGCGGGCGAGCTCCTCCAGGCTCATTGGGTGGGTCCCAGGCTATCGTCCCACGGCCGAGTGTCCACCCCGCTTTACCTGAGGTGCCAGCAGTCCTATAATCACAACCGCCCCAAGCATGCCTGCACAGCCAGTGGGCAACCTCTTCCTGGCTTTCCCAGAGTGGAGAATGTCCGGGGCTGTCACCCCGGCATCCAGCCGGGTCTCCCGCTGCCTCCGATGGGACTGGTCCCTGTCTTTTCCGATCCCCAGCCTCCACCTCTGTGTGGCCCTAGTTCTGGGTGCTGCTGTGTCCTTCTGGACTTCCGACATCCTTTCCCGACCACTGCTTCCCCAGCAAGCGCAGTGGCTGGCCTGGCGTCAGCGTGCGAAGGGCTGCGCCGCTTTTTGAATAGTGCTGTTTTGCATTTGGGCATTCTCTGGGCTACGACACCCCCTCCCCCGGTGACGCCGAGTTGCCCAGATTTACTAGGCTCTGAACTGAAGAAAGACACATGACTCTGCATTTGACTTTCGGGCATCTAAAGACTAGGGGAGCCGATGGCTCCCAGGATCCTGGCGCCAGGCCCCTGTATTCGGTGCATCAGACAAGTTGGTCCAATACACGACCCGCGCTGTCGTTGCAGACGCCTGTTCCGTGCCCGTGGCCGAGATCATCGCCGTGGAGGAGACAGACAGTCACGGGAAGCACTACGGTGGCGGGAAGTGGCAGAAAATGGAAATGCCTTTCGCATTCACAGGTAGTGGGGCCCGCGGGTCCGCCCACACGTGGTCCTTCTTAACCCCAGGCGGGTTCCCTGGCAGGGACTTTTTTGTCTCTTTAACAAACTCCGTGTCTCCTTGGATTATTTTTATGCATACTTCCCTGTGTCATTTTCCATGCTATGACTTTAACCAGTGTTTTCTTCATTTTCTTGCGTGGACCGAAATGGCGGAGCAGTTGGGTTTTTTCTAGTGTCCCTGGGGAGCCCTGCCTTGACCACAGGGACAAGCTCCGCCTCCTCCGGAAGTAGGAGCCTGAGGGGGGCGTGGCCCCGTCCCACAGCAGGGCATGGGGATGACTGGTCCGCTGAGAGCTGATGCTCTTGTCTCTTCGCAGTGCACTGTGTGAAGAGAGCCCGACGCCACCGCTGGAAGTGTGCGCAGGTGACCTTCTGCGGTGCTGACGAGCAGCTGTGTCACCTGTGGCTGCAGACCCTCCGGGAGCAGCTGGACAATCTGAGTATGTGCGGCCCACATGGTATTTAAAGAAAGACCAAGTGGCTGTGGAACCTGCACCTGCACATGTGCGTGCGTGCATGCCCGTGCATGCACAAATGCGCGCGTGTGCATGACTGTGTGCATGTGTATTCTGTGGTGCACATGTGCGAGTGTATGTGGGTGTATATATGTGTGGGTGTCTGCATGTGCACATTTGTGTGTGGGGTGTGTACATGTGTGTTGTATGGTCATGCTGCACGGGACATGTATGTGCCTGCATGTGTGAGTGTGTGGTACGCCCACATGCATGTGCGCTGCTGTGACTTCTGCTTCCTGCCTCTCTCAGTCCACCTGTAGCCAAGCTGGAGGCGATGTGTCACTGTGCCACTCACACCTCCTCTGACCAGAGGTCAGCAGGTGCGGCGCCCACAGGGTGGGCTCTGGCGGGAGAAGCCCATCAGGGCCGCGGTGTGGGGCGCCGGTGGCTGCTGCACGAATGTGCGACCGGTCCTCCGCTCACTGTGGTCATCGGGAGCCCAGCATTGCCCATAGTCCCACCACACGTGTCCCAGGGTGTGTTCTTGGCTGAACATGCTCACACTTGGGTGCCTACCTCAGGCTGGGGTCACTGGGTCGCACAGGGTACACGTGTCCAAACTTGGAGGCACCACCAGCCTGTCCCACAGTGGGGGCTGCAGTGACACTCCCCCCACAGACACCCGGGTCCTGGCTGGCCCGCATCTTAACCGTACCCTTCAAACCTGAGCCTTTATGGGGGTGGTGCTGGGTCGATTACAGCTGTCGTTTACGCTTCCCCGTCAGCCACTGAAGCCGAGAAACACATGCTCGTTCACGGGCCACTCGGGAACCTGCAGCGCGTCTGGTGCAGTGACGTCCGTTCTTTTTCTGTCGGGGTGTCTTTCCCGATGACGTGCAAACATCTCCCACACCGAGGGCCCAGCTCTGTTGCTGGGTTTATGGGTTACAGTGCCGCCTCCCGTGGCGGGGCTGGCACTGCCGCCGTTCCTTGCATAATGAGCCGTCTTGATTTTAATCTAGTCCCATGTATCTTTTCTAAAACTCTGCAGTTAGGTTGCATCCATTCACTTAAAAATACTGTTTCTTAACATTGATTTTTTTCAGGGAGAGAGGGAAGCGGGAAGGGGTGAGAAACATTGCTTTGTTGTCCCACTTATTCATGCATTCATCGGTCACGTCCCGTATGGAACCCGCAACGTTGGTGCGTGGGGTCGACGCTCTCGCCGGCCGAGCTGACCGGCCAGGCACTCAGGAGCACTGTTTCTCAGACGACCTAAGCAGAGTCTCAAACCGTGGTGGTGTGGCTTTCGTCAGCTTGGGTCTTCGCCTTGCTCCGTTGTTACATCCGTCGTGACCCACGCGTCACTGCTGTTTGCAGCGTGCAGACCGAAGCACTTGCTGGTGTTCATCAATCCCTTCGGAGGGAAAGGCCGGGGCAAGCGGATCTACGAGAGGAAGGTGGCGCCCCTGTTCGCGCTGGCCGCCGTCGCCACGGAGGTCATCGGTAAGGCCGACGCCCTGCCGGGCGAGGACGAGTGGGTCAGAGAGGGATTCGGAGATGGCCACTGGAGATTTGTAGCCTCTCGGGTTATTTTAAACAAAACAATGCATGGTGGTTTTTTTTTTACAAATCAGAAAGAGAAGAATACAAATAAAGAACACAGACTTTTCTAGCTGAGTCCTGGCATTTAAAGCATTGAAAGAGAACACCATGAAGATAAAAGAATAAAAGCTCACAGGCAGAAAAGTCTTGCAAGACAGAGAAAAGTGATTAATGTTTTAGAAAGAACCTGACCGACGAGTGATACAGTAGGAAAGGTGATGTGATACCATGTTCGTGGCTCCATGTTTTCAGAGCGAGTTGTCAGTGCCAAGAAAGTACTGGGAGGTGGGCAGTTTGAGGGTCTCGGGTGAACTCATTCGAGGGCACTTGGCAGTGGGCCACTTGGGCCACGGACCTTGAAAACGAGGGTTTTGCCCAGTGATGCAGTTTTCTGAATCCTTCCTAGGAAAACAGTCCAAGGTCCGTTGCCACCTTTTATGGTAGCAAAACACTGGACACAACTTAAATGTCCCCAGACAGGCAACAGGAAGATAAAATGGCGGTGAACCTGAAGGAATGGCGTGCAGTCCTTCCGACGGTCTCCGTGGGGCGTTTTACCTGGAAAGTGGTGCAGCGCGGGGAGGCGAGGGCGCGGCGCCGTCAGGCGGTGCTGGCATCTCCTCAGAGGCTGTTTCTCCCACGGGGTGTACAGGCTCCGCACGAACCTTGCGTTTTCGACATTTTAGTGTATTCTCGAGTTTTCAAAGTAACGTGGATAATAAGGGAAAACTATAAAGTAGAAGAATAATTGCTTTCCAGAAAGTCATTATCTGTGGGCCATGAAATACCAGGAAGGTGCCATCTGGCAGGACCTCTTTCTGAGAGAGGGGCCCGCTCCGGGGGGTGGGGACAGTTTACTTTCTCTGGGAGGGACTCGGGCTCCGTCTGAGGAGGGACCTCTCATGGGAAGCCCCCCCGAAGGACGCGTGGGGCCTTTAATGGTGGGGGTGGGCTCCCAGACGCGGGGGTCTGCTGCAAGTGACCACGCCGTCCCTCCCCAGTCACGGAGCGCGCCAATCATGCCAAGGAGACCTTGTACGAGACGGACGTGGACAAGTACGACGGGTGAGTAGCCCCCTCCGCCTCGCCCGTGGGCAGTGTGTCCTCCCCGGCTCTGACCCGCCTGTCCCCGTTCTGTTCACTGCCCAGCCTGGCCTTTTCTCCCTGGTCGAGAAGTAAGCCTGCTTCTCACGGAAATGCGAAGAGGCCGAGACCACTGTCTAGCAGGCTTGGGTTTCGTGCTGGCCTCCCTGCCTACATGGGAGGATGTGAGCGCGTGGTACAGGCGTGAACACCCGTAGTCCCTGCGGGCTCCAGGGTCTGTTCCAAAAGGCAAGGGTGTCTCGTACAGAACCGAACGGCTGGCCAACCCGGGACGTTCAGGCCCACACAGTTCCCTGTCTGCCGTCCTCACGCAGATGCCCCCCCATTGTTTATTTCCTGCCAAAGGAAGCCCAGGGTCTCGGCTGCCCCAGCGCTCGTCTCAGAGCAGTCCCTCGGTCAGGTGGCTGAGTGCGGGCTCGTCACTGTGCGGCGTGTGTCTCCGTCCGGGTCCGCAAGGCGCTCCCTCCTGGTCAGGCCCCGGTTGGGTGTTTCTGGCCACAGTGACCCAGAAGGGGTGTCGTGCTGGCGGCGTGGCCCCCAGGTGGCTTTGTGCGTGTGTTGCCCGACCCCGTGGGCACATCCGCCCCTCGGAGGCCGGCTGCCGCAGCCCAGGGCACAGGGCAGCGCAGGGAAGGTGGCAGGCCCCGCGGAAAGCTCACACGCAGGGATGCACCAGCATCAGGCCTGCGTTTTGGAAACATGCTTCTAAAAGCCACTCGGGATGAATAGCAGGGAGGCAGGATTGCACCCCCAGGGCCCGAGGGCAAGAACTGGCGGGAGGGCGGCAGGGAGCACGGCTCGCAGGGAGTCGGCCAGCCCCAGTGCCGGTGCTACAAGAACACACGCAGGGGCCTGACCCCAGTGCCGTGGCGGTGTCACCGGGAGATGAGCTAAAGCAGGTTTCGAAGGTGACGGTGCTGCCCAAGTGGGGCCGTGTGTCTGCTGGGCTGTGGGCTGAGATCGGGGAGGGGCAGCCAGCGGAGGGACGGCCAGGACCTGGTCCTCTCCGTGCCCCCCCACCCAGGTTGGCGGGCGGCGAAGCCAGCTCTGCACCGGGCTCCGTGTCACGAACGCCCCTGCGCCCCCGGGTCAGCGCTGCTGGGAGGCTTGGGAGTCAGGAGCTGGGGAAACCAAGTGGGCGCCGGTGCGCCAGGGACGCCCAGTGTGCAGAGCGACCCCCGAGGAGGGGTCACACTCCAGGGGTCACACCACAGGTGGCCATCAGCCTTCCCAGGCGGGGCTGAGGGGCCGGTGCAGGTGCCCCATGGAGACAGAAGAAGCTTCTGAGGAGGGGCAGGGACGGCGAGGGGGCAGGAAGGGCAGGAGCTGCTGGCAGCAGCCTTAGGGGCCCAGCCCCGACTGCCTGGGGCCCCCCCAGAGACCTCGGCCAGGGCTGCAGGGGCCCGTTTCGGTTCGGTTTTGTCTGGCTCTGTCTCTGCAGCAAGGCCTGAAGGGACTCGCAGGCTTGGGGACCGAGGAGGAGGTGACTCTGCACGGAGGGGCACAGCGGGGCCTGGGGCTTGGTCCTCTCCTGCCCTTGGTGGTCTTTGGGAGCCTCAGCCTCCAGTGGCTGTGACGGCAGCAGAAGTGTGTCACCCAGGGCTGGCACTGACACAGGGTCGGGGAAGATCTGGCCGCTCCAGCAGGCAGGCCGCGCCGAGGACGGGATGGAGCGTCGGGAGGGACGTGAACGCGTGTCGGCTGCACTTCGGGCCACGCCGTCGGGCTGGCCTGCGCTCAGGGACACGCTGTCCCTCGCAGAAGCGCCACAAGGAGCTGTGGAGGGAAGGCTGTGGGGGCAGCAGGGCGGGCATGCTCACGCGCGTGTGTTGCCCCCACAGAATCGTCTGTGTCGGCGGGGACGGCATGTTCAGCGAGGTCCTGCACGGGCTGATCGGCAGCACGCAGAGGAACGCCGGCGTGGACCAGAACGAGCCCCGGACGGCGCTGGTGCCCAGCCGGCTGCGCATCGGCATCATCCCCGCAGGTGGGACCTGGCCACCGGCCGAGCCCCGAGCCTCTCGGTGCCTGGGACACAGACTTGCTGGCTTCCCAGACAAAAGTCTTTCGAAAGGGGACTTTGTGGAGTCACTGCCACCCGGAAGGGGGGGTCGAGGGGCTGGGTCCGCCGCCCCGCAGCAGGGCCAGGTGGGCAAGCTGGGCCATCTGGGCCATCAGGCAGGGGTGAGGGCGGGAGCCCGTCTGAGAGGGTTCACAGTAGCCGTGGGGGCGGAGAGAGGGCCGGAACCTTAGGGCCCTGGGTCGCCCGGCCTGCGCCCCATTTTCGATAACTGTGTGGCACCGCCTGGGCGCTTGGGAGCCCCACATGCACACGGAGTGTGAGCCTGCCCTCTCCTGGGCTGGCCCGAGGTGGACGGTCAGCCCCTCTGTCTCCGCCCCGTTCCCTGCCGCCCCCGCCCCCCGCCGGCCACTGTCCTTAGTTCAAGACATTTCAGGGTTCTCTTCGTGTCCGCAGACGCCCCGTCACCGGGCCACGTGCGGGGGACCTCCTTCCTTGTTTCCCTTCAGGCTCTCGTCCTCATTTAAACCGTGATTCCGTCATCACACAAGCGCTGCCGCTCTTTCGGGCGGCCGTTACCGACCCATGGAAGGGCCACAGAGCCGTGTTTGGAGGGAGCCCTGTCCTGCTCCCCGACACCCGACCTCCTGCCCGGTGCTGACAGCCGGGGATGCAGTGGGACCCTGCAGTGGGGCTGGGGGCGCGAGGGGCTGCTGAGTTGTTGCCAGTCCCCAGAGCGCAGCACTCGGGGTGTCCTTGGACCCAGAGCGGCCGAGAGACTGTCAGGCAGGGAGTCCGGAGAGTCACCGGGCTGGGTCTGGAAGGAGCTGGCTCAGTGTTTTGTGCAGCTTCCTGGGAAGCCCCTGGGTCTGGAAAAGCACAGTGTTTGTGAGCTGAGCAGGGGCTGCTTTGTGGGTTCGGGGCTCCGCCCACAGCAGGCAGGGTGAGGCACCCCGTCGGCTCGTCGCCTGCTGTCTGGTCGGTGTGGCGGGGCTCTGGGTGAACATTCCGGAACACGCGTCAGGGACTTCTATTCCCAGGACGGCCGTGTGAGGTCAGCACCGTCCTCGCCCACTTCACGGGGGAAGACTCGCCCTGGGGTGCGGGCACTGGGAGAGCAGAGGCCCCCGCCAGCCGCGGGCAGATCGCCCTTCCGACCAGCCGGGGCATTCAGTGCATCTGCCCTCAGTCGGTCTCACAGCGCCTTTCCAAGTTTAGGCTTTTGTGTGTGGTGTATCCGGACTGCTTGAGGTTCATTTTTCTCTGCTCTGATCTATTTTTCCTCCCATTCGCTGATGGCGGCAGAGATACCTGAAACCTGAAGCTCTAGATAAAACTTGAAAAGACCTTAACGGCTCACGCCCGCCCGGGGTAGGACCTGCGCTGGCCTGGGCATGGGGAGCGGGGAGCACTCGGGCCTTGGCGTCCAGCAGAGAACAGGCAGGCCTGGCCTCTGCCCGTGGACAGACGCGCATGTGGATGGGGAGGGTCTTCTGCAGCGGCTGCCTCAGAGGCGATGCCGCTGGGCGCTGGGTTCTGGGCCGCACGGAACTGAAGCCTCGACGGAGGAAGCACTTGCGTCACCAGGCGGCTCCTGGCACCTGTGCCTCTGCCGCCCGGAGAGGAGCGTGTCACGGGGTCCACTGCCGGCTGCAGACGCGCCTGCAGTCCTGCCGCCTGGACCTGGATGGCGCGGGGGCCTCAGGGCTCCGGGCCCACCTGCGTGGGAAGTACTCACCAGTCACAAGCTCTCCGTCCTGAGCTCGAGTGTCCAGGGACACAGAGGCCGGCTCGCTTCTCCTGGGAGCCGAGCCTCGTCGCTTCCGCTTCCGAAGGGCTGTGTCCTGCGAGGGAAGAGGCAGGAAGGCCTCAGCGCACCTGGCTGGCTGTTGGCACCGGGCAATCAGTGTCATCCCGGGAGGGGACGGCCGTGCAGCTGACTAGGTCACAGGGGACTGAGAGCAAGCACAGTGCACAGAGCACACGTCACTGGGGCTGGGCCGTCACCAGGCTCCCGAGGATTCGATGCCAGAGCCAGCTGTGGCTCCCCCATAAAGCAGGTCTCCTCATGTTCAGAGCCGGCTCTACCTCTTGGTTCATATCTTCTCCAAACACACCTGCAGAAACAGTCAGGAAGTTATGTGGTGTCCTGGAAGGTCAAGGGAGAAACGGCATCTTGGGGACTTTTGAAAGACTTGAAGCCCTGCTGTCACTCCGGGCGCCAGCCGGACAAGGGACCGCCAGCTCCCAGACGCCCCACACTCTGGGACTCTTCATTCACTCCATCACCGTGCTCGCTCCGCCCCCGCTCCGCCCCGCTCCCCTGAGACTTCTCACCGCTCCCGAGGTCCCACTGCCTCGGTGGGGCCGGCCCAGACCAGGGGCTCAGGGAGGCCTCTGCTGCCACACCCCGACCTGCACGGTCCCTGCCTGTGGAGCGGGACAGGCTGCGCGGGGGGGGGGGGGGGGGGGGGGGGGGGGGGCACGCGTCCAGGAGCCCCGCGTGGCTGTGGGAGCTCAGGCGGCGGCAGGAGGTGGGATGGGAGGTGTGGGGGCGGGGGCAGCACAGGGGCCCCATGGGGGGCTCTGAGCAGGAGTGAGCTGAGCTGATTACCTTCTTTAAAAATCTTGCCTTTCTCCAGCAAGATAATCCCAGCCACCCCATCCGAACAGCGTCCCTCTGCACTCTTGGGGAAGGACCGGTGGCAGAGGGTGGACGCGCGCAGCCCCGTCGGGGGGCGGGGCTTCCTCTCTGGAACCACCGCCCTTTGGGCTCCTTGCCGCCTCTTGGTGGGTAGTTTGCGGCTCCGCCCTACTGAGTGAACCGGAGCCCTGGGCCAGTGGGCCACGTCCCTGCCCGCCCCCCACCCCTAGAGGGGGGCCAGGCTCGCGCGGCTGGGGGCGGGGATGGCAGCCCCTGCCGCCCGCCCACGCCCCCAGCTGAGAGGGCCCTGGCTGAGCTGGGCCTCAGGAAGGGCAGCTTCGCGTTGGTGGTCACGGGTCCGGGTGCCTGCTGCTCCCCAGAACTGCAGAAGGCCTCCCTCCACCTTCCTCCGAGTCTGCTGAGCCTGGGGTGACCAGAGACCAGGAGGCCCAGAAAGGAAGCGGAACTTCAGGAGTCTTGGATTTGTAAGACCTGGTGCCACCCAGAAGCCACACACGCGTGTCACTGCTGCCTTTCCTGCCCCACAGATCATATGTGTGACATCTGATTAAATGCGGGGGAGGCTGGGTGTCTGGTCAGGCTTTGTTCTAGGGACGGTGGAGCACACAGCTCTGGGAACTTCTGGAAAATTCCAGGGGGCATGAAGGACTCTGCCTTGGGCCTTGGCTGCAGTTAATCTGGCGGCTCCTTCCCAGTTGCTGTCCCGAGAACATCTGTGCTGGCCACCTGGCTCCCTGCATGCAGGTCAGGGTGTGGAAGGCAGTGGCTGAGTTAGCGACACACTGAGAGTTGGCCGTCCCTGTGATCTTGAATGTTGGGTTGAAAGTGTTTACTTTTTGGCTCATTTTTGAAACCAGATGTCACTCCTGTCAAGATTAACAAAAAATATGCACGTTACAGTGTGTGAGCGTGAACACGCGTGCACACATGTGCACACCCGTAAGCCACTATAGAAGCTACGTTCAGCTTGGAATGAATAACAACCCTATGCTCTGACCTCACACTGGACCAGGTTCTGGATCTGGTAACGAAGGAGCCAGCAGCCGAACCCGGCTGCTGGGAACCGCGGACGCCCAGGCTTCGCCAGAAGCCAGACTTGTAGGTGTCCGGGGCCTGTGGGCAGAGCCCGGTGTCTGCCTGGGGCCCGGGCCTGTGAACCCGGGGCAGCCTGACCCCGCACAGTCGGTTGGCGGTGATACCGCACCACCATTATACAGACTGCTCAGCCCATCCCAAACCTGTTCGGCGGAACCTGGGCCATGGGGTTGAGGAATCTGGTGTGGAATGGTGCCCCGGGGCATTCTCTGCCCACTGAGGCTGCAAACCCCACCTGGATTCTGACCCAGCTCAGCGGCAGGCCCAGCAGCCATGCCCTCGGGGCCCAGGTGGGTGGGGTACCCTGAGGTCCGTCCCGGCCCCCCCCCCCCGGCTCTGCAGATGTGCGGAGGGAGGGAGGGAGGGAGGGAGCCTGGCTCGCTGTGCTCAGGGCGGTTCCAAGCAGGTCCGGCCTGGCCCGCATCACTGTCTCTGACTATGAGCAGGCGCTTGGGGACCAGGAAATGCCTCTCTGTGAGCGTGGCGCTTGTCTCGGTGCGTGGGCCTCCGTGGCGCTTTTCCACCATCTTTACGAGCCATCCGCTTTGCCTGCACCTTTTCACTGCAGACACCACCCCTGTCCCCATCCCTGCTGGGAGGGGACACCCCCCCACTACCACCCCCGCAGGTGTCTCTCGGGGCTCCACTCCCCGAGACCCTGTGGGTCAACTCAGCATTTCTGATGCGCTAACGTTGGTATTCCCAGCACTCACGTCATAGGCCGAGTGCGCTCACTCCGTGTGGGCTCCAGGCCGCAGAGGAGAGGGAAGAGCTGGGCATGCACCGACTGCAGACCTGCAGGTTTCCGAAATCACTGCAGTGACGCGCAGGGCTTCCCTTCCCTTGTCAGGGTCGACAGACTGCGTGTGTTACTCGACGGTGGGCACCAACGACGCGGAGACATCAGCCCTGCACATCGTCCTGGGTAGGTCCCGCCAGCCTCTCGGCACCTGTCCGTCCCCCCACCCTGGGCCCATCTGCCAGCGGGGCTCCTGCGCCTTGTCTGACTTCCCATGACGTTGGAGGGACCCCTCGGAAACGTGAGCCCTGCTCGGAGCCCTCCAGAGCCCTGCGGATTGGGGCGTGACAGCACCCCGTGACTGGACCGGCTCCCCTTGGCATCCCCGTGCGCCTGCCGGGCTGCTGCCCCTCAGTCCTGACCTGTCCCACAGCCTGCACTCTGCTTTCTCTCCGCTCAGGGCTCTGCCCCTCATCACCCGGTCAGGCAGGCCTTCCCAGGCCGGTCTCTGGCCGCTGCCACAGCTGTGCCTGTCCTGCGTGCTCAGCCTCGCGGTGCGGTTCCTGCACCATGAGCCTCCCCTGAGGCTGGAGGGCCAGGGGCAGCTGCCCAACTGCTCACGTGTGCCACGGCCCCTGTCCCCGTCCTCGCCGCAATGACTGTGGCAATGACTCTGGCAATGACTGTGTCACCCAGGTCCGGGCATGTTTTGATGCGTGTCTCTCCTCCTTGTCAGACCCCCTCCCTCCCTCGGGTCCCAGAGGACGGGCTCCGTGGGTGCACTCCGGCCGGCCACACTCAGCAGCTTTCTGCGCCTGCTCTGCAAGTCTTGTCATTCAACTCAGGAGCGGGGCCCCCGGCATGCAGGCCACTGCCTGGGCGCCTCCTGCGTCCCATGCGTTCTAGTCACGTCTCTGTTGGCGCCTGCAGGAGGGGAGGGCGAGGAGACGGGGTGAGGTGGCTGCACGGGAAGGAAGCAGCTCCCCGGGCCTCTCTCTGCAGGTGACTCGCTGGCTATGGACGTGTCCTCGGTGCACCACAACGGGGCGCTGCTGCGGTACTCGGTGTCCCTGCTGGGGTACGGCTTCTACGGGGACATCGTCAAGGACAGCGAGAAGAAGCGCTGGATGGGCCTCATCAGATACGACTTCTCAGGTAACTCTGGACGCAGGCCGGCGGGGCACTGAGCGCCTTTGTGCACCTCGGTGGCCTCGTCTACACCCTGTGAGAGGAGGGTGCCGGTGACACACACGCCCAGGACCAGCACCTCTGCAGCCACAGGCCCTGGGTCACAGCTGGTCCCCTCCCATCTGATCACGCAGTTGGAGCCAGTGGCACGTGGTCGCTTCCGGGCTGTGCAGAGTGACGTCTGCTCGGTTCTGGGCGGTGTGGCTTCCCAGTGCAGGGAAGACGCTGGAGGCTGGGGTCCAGCCTGTGGTCACTCGGGGGACTGACTCCTTGACAGCATGAAATGGGTGGCATTGGTCCGCGCACTGCCCTCTAGCATTCCTTTTGGGCAAGTCCGTGTTAGGTTAAATTGAGTAATTTAAATTGAGTAATTCCGAGTAATGAAGTCAAAAAGCTTTTGGGGAAAGGAGCGAGTAGTAACCTGGGGAGCTGTACTCGGTGGAGGGGTTAACTCAGAACCTCAGTGCAGCCCGGCAGCCGGACTCGCGGTGCCGCGTGGGCGCGGGCGGGCCCTCGTGCCCCGGCCCCAGGGCGGTCCTGCTCCACCCTGCTCTGAGAGGTCTGTGTCCTCAGGTCTGAAGACCTTCCTGTCCCATCACTGCTACGAGGGCACGGTGTCGTTCCTGCCCGCACAGCACACGGTGGGCTCGCCGCGGGACGGGAAGCCCTGCCGGGCCGGGTAAGCGCCTGGGGGCCGTGGGAGGTGACGGCAGAGTGGGCGGGGGACGGGGCTTGCTCCCGCTGAGAGGCCTGAGGGTGGATGCGGAGGCCGCGGTTCTCTGAGGGGCTCGGACGTCCCCTAGAAGTCACTCAGACGTCGGGCCCCTCCCCCTGTCCTCCGGGCTCAAGGGGAGAATCTGAGGCCCTGAGGTCAGAACGGCGGGAGGGATGCGTTACGGACGTCAGACGTTGATGGTGCTGACGTCACGGCGCTCCTCCTGTTTGGCGGGGTGAGGGCGGGGTGCTGGGGACCACAAGTGTATCTTGGTCTCGGGAGTCAGTTCAGAGCCACGCGCTGCGACAATGGCGGTGTTCTCTGTCCTGTGACGGTGACTCGGGCTCAGTGGGACGCACGTGCCGAATGGCGCCTCTCGTGTCTGGTCCTCCAGCTGGCACGGCGCCACACCAGCTGTGCCTGGCAGGGCCAGCGCAGGGGCTCGTGGTGCTGTCCGGCTTCATAGTGGTCACCAGCCTTAGAGAAGGACACGATGACATGCAATTTTTAATAGTGAATTTTGAGAACTCGAATTAGTACGTTAAGGAAGCACTTTCAACTAAGCCTTTGGCACTGAACTGAGTGTTGCACGGGAAGACTCAGGTCTCCTGAGCATGCGCCCACCGCGAGGCCCCCGGGTCAGGGAAGGCGGCTCGCTGTCTTCCAGGTGCTTCGTCTGCAGGCAGAGCCGGCAGCAGCTGGAGGAGGAGCAGAAGCGGTCGCTCTACGGCCTGGAGAGTTCCGGTAAGGTCCCCAGGGAAGCCGCTGCCCCTGTCATGTTCCAGGACGGCGGGTGCCGGAGCCAGCCCACCCCAGCCCCAGGCGCTCCCTCCCTGCATCGAGTGCCGGTTTAACGCTGGCAGCCATGCGGGGTGGGAGACCGGGAGCAACCGGCCAGAGAAGAGCAGGGGTTTGGAGACGCAGCGCTTGCCGCCTTCCTCTGGGTCACTGGCACTCCAGGCCGGCACCGCTCAGGAGAGGGGGTGGGCGGCCTCCAGCGAGGGGTACAGGGAGGTCTCAGGGACCTGCCCGCCGCTCCCAGAACAGTGTCTGTGGGTGTCGCAGTGTGAGTTCCAGGGAACCTGCTGGTGTCACGGGCGTCACTTCCAAGTGTGAAACTCACCCGACCCGTGTAGCTCATGAGCAGGCCGCCGTGCGCGGCCCCTGTTCTACAGTGTTGTTCCGAAGTCCCCATGGGAGGGCAGTGATGGCTTTCCGAGTGGGTGCCCAGCCTGCGCGGCTGGTGTCCTTAGCTGGGACAGACAGTGGGCTGCAGGGCCTCTGTCACCACTGCGTGGCTGTGGGAGGCCTGAGAGCGTCCAAAGCGGCGGGAGCGAGGGGTGGGCCCCGCTGGGCCCCGCCCCACCCCACCAGGCCGCCCGCGCCAACCAGACGCCCCGTGCCCCTGTCCACCCACCAGAGGACATGGAAGAGTGGAAAGTGGTCTGCGGCAAGTTCCTGGCCATCAACTCCACCAACATGTCCTGTGCGTGTCCCCGGAGCCCCCGAGGCCTGTCACCGGCCGCCCACTTGGGGGACGGGTCCTGTGACCTCATCCTCATCCGGAAGTGCTCCAGGTTCAACTTCCTGCGATTCCTGGTCCGGCACACCAACCAGGGCGACCAGGTGGGTGTGGGCCCATTCCTGTGCGCCGCGCCCCTCTGCACGCTGGGTCTCTACTCACCCCCGCGAAGCTCACTTGAGAATGTCGGCTCTTTGGGTGCAGAGACCGGCAGACCTGGCTGCTTCTGTCGACCTCACCCTGCTGGAACAGACGGCAGTGAGGCGGTGAACCTCTGCAGCCCCTGTGGGTTGCGGGCAGTGACCCTGCGTGCCCCAAGCTGGGCTGGGGTGCAGCCTCCCGCAGCCCTGACCTGGTCACCCATATCCCAGAGGTGACAGCGGGGATGGCCCAGGCCGGACAGTGTGCAGACAACCGGGGATCAGTCTCTGGTGTCAGTGAACTTCGTCGTTTTTTAAAAACTTAAACTGCACACATACGACCCCCACAGTGTGTTTGCCGTGGCTTTTTAAACAGTTCTCGTGGAAAAGATGAGGCATTCTGCAGGCCTGCACTCACGAGCGGTGGTTGCGGCGGGCTGGGCGGGCTCCCCCAGGCTCGCCAGGTGCTGAGCCGGGTGCCTGCAAGGGCAGGTCCCGGACTTCTGTCCACCGCTGGGCACCCAGTGAGCTGGACGTGCGGCCCAGAGCGCCGTCTGGGGGGCCACCCTCCCCACACAGCAACTTGGGGAACACCTTTCCCCCCTCGCCTCTAGTTTGACTTCGCCTTCGTCGAAGTTTACCGCGTCAAGAGATTCCAGTTTGTGTCCAAGCAGGCGGAGGAGGAGGAGAGTGAGCAGGGCAAGCGGGGGCTGGGCCCCATCTGCAGCCACCCCTCGCCCTGCTGCTGCTCCGTGTCCTGCAGCGCCTGGAACTGCGACGGGGAGGTGCTGCACAGCTCCGCCCTGGAGGTCAGGTGGGTGGGGCGCCGTCGCCACGCTGGGCCCCAGAGGGTCTCCGAAGGTCCCTCACCCCCACCCCCTGGCGCCAGCGCCTGGCTCACCCCCACGTAAACACAGGCCGGCGGGGGCCCTGGCTGAGTCCTGGCTTCCTGCGTCCACCAGGAGGCGCTCTGGCCTCGGGGCCCAGCCCAGGGCCTGGACTTGCATCAGCCTGGCAGTGCGGGGCTCTTCCAGCAGGTGGCGTGCGGGAAGGGGGACCTCCCCAAACCTGTGGCGGCCCACTGTGTTTGGAACGGGAGACTCCACTCGTGACCGTCTGAGTGGGCTGGGCTGCCACCTGTCAAACTGGGATGGGACGGTGCACAGGCCCTGCGGGGGGGGGGGGTCCCTGTCAGCGTGGCCTGCACGTCCCCCCCATGCACAGGGCCCAGTGAGCTGGCAAGGCAGAGGCAGGACAGTGGCTGCCTGTGGTCACCCTGCCGGAGTCCGCGCCCCATCCTCTGATCCCCACTCTCCCCGTGGCCGTCACCGGCCCTTGTTTATGAAGCTGGCCTCTTGGAGTGTGAACGGTCCCTGACCTGTCCTTCTGGGGTTGGACCAGCGTCGGCTGTGATGCACGCTCTGTCTGGGGTGAGGGTGGCCCCACCTCCGGGGCCGGGAGTTGGGGGTACCGGGGGCTTCAGTGCGATGCCCTTTGTCTCCACAGGGTCCACTGCCAGTTGGTGCGGCTGTTCGCACGGGGCATCGAAGACGGTCCTAAGCCGGAGCCGCGCCGCTGAGAAGCCCCCTCTGATCGCCCACCTTCGGCTGCTGCTCCTGGAAGTGTGAAAGTTAGGAAACGACTACAGACCAATTATGTGGATACTTACATTTACATTTAGAAGTTTATTTTTGATAGTTAAATCTTGACTTCAGGAAACACAGCTCTGCCCACAGTTCTGCGACCGCACCAGGCGGTTTCAGTTCCACACGCATCGCTGGGCTGTGCGTCAGGAGACTTAGTCTCAGCGAGCGGTCACTGTGGATTTGGGGCGCTGGCTTCGTAGATCTTAGCACCTCGCACTTGGAAATGGCCAGTCGGTGGGGTCTGTTGCGGTTACTCTAGGGGCAGTGTAGGGACTGCTCTCTGCTGAGGCTCCGTCAGACCCCCGGCGCCTGCAGGCACCACCGGGCACCTGATCCGCTTTGCCAGGCTTATCAGTAGTGGTCTGTGGTCCGCTGCAGCGAGGCAGCGGGCTCTCTGCCCTCATTTTACCTTCGTCCGAGCCCACGGCGAGGGCACTGTTCCCGGGTCCTTTCTGCCAGGCACCCCCACCCAGCAGTGGATCACTCCAGGGGTAGAGGGCATGGAAGCGGTCACTGCACCTCCACGACCAGCCGTCTCCATGGCAGCATCCAGTGTTGCCGTGACAATCCAGCCGGGCGCTCAGGCAGCAGCCATACTGTTTACAGTCGCAACGCTTCATAGCTGCACAAGCAGGAGGGCAGAGGCGGCAGGCCGTGCGTGCGATGTGCACCGGGGGACTTCGTTAGTGCCCGGCCCTGGGGGGCAGGGCCCCTCAAGCCAGAGGTCCGTGTGGCACAGGCCCCAGTGCACACCTATGGCCCTGACTGCCTCACCTTCACGCTCATTTCCACATGTTCATCGGCGGCCGTGCCCCCCTCACCCAGAAGGGTAGCGAGGTATCCGCATCGTCAGTGCTCCATTCGGTCCAGGCTCAAGGCCCCTCCAGCCTTTGACGGCCGTGCGGTCTCAGAGCCTGCATGCAGTCGCGTGTTTGTGTGTGTGCGTGTGTGTGTAAGGACAAGGGCGACTTCCCATCCAGTCCCACCTGCGTCAGACTGGGCTTCAAAGGTGTGTTTGTTTTTTGATGGGCCACAGTGTTGAAGACCTGCGAGTGATGGGCCTGCGAATCGCATGGTCTGGGTGGTTGGTGGGTGGGGAAGCCCGTGTGTAGAGTTACTGTCCGCTGGCCATTGCCGTTCTCAGTGTGTGCTCCTGGGGGGAGGCGGCCAAAGATGCGGGACTGGAGCCCTGATGGCGGGGCCGCCATGCCGCCTGTGCGCCCTGGGACCGCTGCACCTCAACAGGTCTCCTGGGGCAGCCTTCACCCCTTGGGTCTCTGGGAGATGCTGCCCTGACACTCACTGCTGGTCCCAGAACGGTCCAGGCCGGAGAGCGAGCTGCCCGAGTCCCACAAGAACACCGGCCGTGCTGCACAGTCCCCGCACGGCCTGGGCGGGGCTTACTGGCTGCGTGCTGATGTTCCAAATCGCACACTTGGGACTTCTGGGGGGCCAGTGTGACCGAGTGAACCCTCCAAGAGCTCACCGGCAGCTCGTGCAGGGACAGAAGTGCCTGTCGGGGGCCCCCGCCCAGAGCCTCTGGATGGAGCAGCCACACCTTTGCCCTGGGGCAAGCAGGGGTGCGGAGAAGGGCAGTCTGTGCCGTGGCGCCCTCCCACTCAGGCCCGTGCTGTGGGCGCTGCTCCTGGACGTGTGCGTGGGAGGGGCCTGGCCTTCCTCTCTGATCTTGCTGGTTTCAGGATTAGACAGTGGCCACTTGCTCTGTTACGTTCAAGACAAAAATAAAGTTACTTTGGGCAGAACTTGGCTGTTGTGAAATAAACTGCACGCAGAGCGCCCCAGTCTGAGAAAAAAGTGCTGCCAGGGATTGTACCTCCCCTGTGCTTGTCGGTCCCCAAGCCCCCAGGCTCTCCCCACCCCAGGGCAGCCCTGACTCGGATTTGCAGCCGGAGCGGAGGCTTCTGTTGGAAGGGGCCTTGTGTTCCCCAAAATTAGACCCAAGAACTACACAGGCGCCAAAGAACCTTTCTTCTTCCCTGCACCTGCCAGGAAAAGTCAGAGGAGATGTCCTCTTAGAACGTGGGGCCCCTGCACAGACACAGGGCCCCGTCCGCTGAAGACACGCCAGGTCCAAGGTGCGCGGACCCCCCGCCTGCGGACCCCACCCCTGCTGGCCCAGCGCAGACCCTTCCCTCAGCACAATGGGGCCACGCCACCCTGCCGCCGAGCATCACATACTGCTTGCCGCCTGGGAAGAGGCCAAAATTCCAGTTCTGAATTATGGCCTCTATTGAATATGTAACAGCTTTCACATCACTGCAAAGTCAAAAAGTTAAAGTTGAACCATCCCAAGTTGGGCTGGTAGGACTGCTGTCAAGCGCGTGTACTAGCGTCTGGCGGCCAGCAGAGGGAGCCAGTCACACTGAACGGGGCTGGCACTCCATTTCCCAACAGGCACCGCGCGCCTCATTGACAGGTTAATACACACACCATCAAGCAGCCAGCCCAGCCCCCTCCTCACCCAGGGTTCCCCCAGGGAGCGGGGGTCCCCCCTGTGAGGAACGGCGGGGTCCTGCTGCCAGGAGGGGTTGGGGTGAGTGGGGGCTGCGGGGATGGGAGGTCAGGGAGGTCACTTTGGCTAAAAAAACAGAGTCCAGCCTCTAGTCCACAGTCACCCCGGGAGGGTGGCAGGCTCTCCCCTGAGTGTTGGTCGCGTGCCAGCTTCCCAGGGACTGTGGTGGGCGACAGCCACATCCCCGCCCCAGGACAGCACGACAAGACGGGCCGAGGCAGGCCACACCCGGCAGCAGAGCCAGCCCGCCAGGCCGGGGCTCCCCAGCCCTGGTCCGGTCTCTGAGTGGCTCTGCAGGACCCTGCCTTGGGGGCTCTGGGTGTGGGAGGCAGGGTACCCCGGGGTGTGCCCGACACCAGCCAGCCTGCGGCCCCGGCGGTTTCTGCCCTGGGCCTGCTCCTGAGTCCCCATGTCCAGGGTCAGTCCCTGTACCGGCCAAGGCACATGTACTGTTGGGAACCCCTCTGCCTGCAGACCTAGGTCCCAGAGGCACCCAGAGCCCCCAGGAAAGGCACCTCTGGGTGGGGGTGGGGCCGAGGCTAGGGCTTGCAACCCCCAACTCTGCGCTGTCTCCCCATTTCTGAGCCCCCGGACACCCTCCGGTGACGGCACTGCCCCCAGCCACAGGGCCAGGCTTCTCCGCAGGTTGCCACGCTGGCTGCTCCTCCTCCGCAGCCTGGCTCCCAGCCTGGAGCTGTGCACGGCCCGACTGCACAGCCCTCCGCCCGGGCAGGGCCCTGCGCCCCCTCAACCTTCAGCCAGGCAGCCTTGTGGCCGAACCCCACGGCCCTCCGGAGCTGGTGGCTGCAGGGACGGTGGTCCCGCCTGCCCTCGCCAAAGGCCTGCACTGCATGGGCCCCCACCCCTCACCCGCCTCAGCAGAAAGCATTTCCAGTTTACTTAAATAAAAATTATAATTTATACAAGACTTTTTCTTTAAACAAACAAGGTTTTCTTTAAAAAGTGTTACAGGGGGCTTTCATCTGCTCTTCACTCCGCACGGCCCCACTGCCGCCTGGGGCCGCACTGTGATGACGATTTGCAGACCAAAGCAGACAGGCCTCAGACGTGAAAATTTAACATTCATTCTAGTTCAGTGGTTAGTCACAGAAATTAAATATCTGCCCACAGTTTACACAGTTCAGTAGAGGGACAGGTTCTCTCCAGCGGGGGCCAGGCCCCTCCTGCCGCTGACCCAGTGTGCAATGTGGGGACCCCTTCCCACGCCCCCCACCCTGCGCCCTTTGGCAGCAAGCTGTCGTGTGGTGAGTCTTCATCTCCCTTCCTCTTGGAAGGGGCTCCAACTGGACCACTCACTCTACTGAAGCCGACGAGTCCTGTGACCCACAGGCCACCCCTGGGGCTTGGGACAGAACCCCAGCTTTGCTGACACACGTGGGCCCCGTGGCAGCTGGTCCTGCCTACAGCCCGTGCCTGGGGGCAGTTCAGGGCCCACTATGCCTTGGACACGAACGGGAGTTCCCTCTGGGGTTGGTCCCCTGGGTGCATCGAGGCCTCTGCGGGACCCCCGAGAGCTGGCCCACCTGCATGGACGTGGGAGCCACAGCCAAGGGCGAGAGTGGGCTCTGCCTTCATTTCGGACCTACAGAGCCCCGACCACCGGGCCAGGGTGCCCGAGAGCTGCGGGCGCTGTGGTCCCCTCAGACCTCACCGACTGGGCGGGGCGTGTGCTGGGGGGCGTGGCTCCCCGGACCCCGCATGTGGTCCTGCAGCCTCCCCGCCCCCACTCTCCCCAAAACCAGCACGCAGGGACTGGAGCAAAGATAAAAATTACACGTGAAAAATGATACAAAAATAAGAAAAACAGCTCGCTCTCTGTAAAAAATATAATCTGTTTCTTCAAAAAACCACCACCTCAGTGACCCCCCGAGAACTCAGGATGAGCCGAGGGGCCGGCGAGGTCCGTGATGGGGAGCTCGGCGACCCACCCGCGTTTCTGCCTCGGCCACGGGCCTGTTGCACCACAGAGCTGGCTTTCAGGCCCGTCCCGGAAGGGACCGAGCCTGGGCACCTCCATCAGAGTGGCTTCCTGGGCAGAGGGGGCAGGGGGAACTGGGGACCTGAGGGGCGAAGCTGGTCCTGCCCACAGGCGTGTGGGCGGGGGACACGGCGGGGACACTGCCCAACGCTGGGGCCTGGCTGCCGACACAAAGCTCTATGCCTGGCTCACGGTCATGCCCCACAGGGTCCTCCCAAGTGGCCTGAGCAGCAGGGACCACCAGGGGCCTAGGACACCCCTGCACCTCCCCATGCCCAGCCCTGGAGCCCCTCACCAACACTGGTGGCTGAGCCCCGAGGCCAGTGGTGGCCTCACCGCAGCGACTGTCACCGGGAGCCACCAATACCTGGGCAGACTCGATCCCGAGCCTTTCCAGAGAGCAAAGCGTGAAAAACTGCTCCGGCCATGCGCCAGTCTGCACCTGAAATCAGAGGCCAGTGACGGGCGCCCGCACCGGCTCATCAGGCCCAGACAGCAGGTGGCCCAGGTGGATGGTGGGCCCAACCCCGGCCTGAGGCGCAAGGGCCCCCCCAAGGCTGGGCAGGGCCCCGGCCAGACAGCACTGGGAGGACACGCGGCCGGCATCCCGCTGACGGAGGGTGGTGACAGGGCCGGGTCACGGGGCTGCCGTCCTGCATCAGCGACGCCCTTCAGCTATGGCTTTGGTGCCGAGGAGCGGCCGGGGACAGGAGCAGCAGCTGTGCTCAGTGAGGGCTGGGACGGTGCGCATCCTGCGTGTCATCCTCTCTGGTGGCCTGGAGGACGTGCCCTCTGCCCCGTGTCCACAGTCTGGGACGTGCCTCGCCCACCGCGCGGCCCCACCCTGCACGAGGGGCCGGACACGTTGCGGGTCAGCCCCACAGAACCTCAGGTCGAGGGGCATTAGCGCAAAGGCTGCCAGGACATCTGGCTTCTTCCCGCCACCGAACAGCTGAGACCCTGTAGCGTCCCCGGAGAGATGGCCCTAGCTGTCGCCACCGGCCACCGCCACTGCCGCCGTGATTTTCGCGTACTGGTTGAAGATGGTCTCAAAGGCCTCGTCTCTGTGCACCATGGCGCCGAACACCAGCGGCTGGTGGGAGGGATGCCGTCCCTGAGCCCACGTGGCCAGGTGGGCGGGGGACAAGGCCATCCACCCCCAGGCCCTGATGGGGCCACTCGAGGCCACTCGGGGTCTGGGTGCTCAAGGACAGACCAGCCCCCAGAGGCCGGACTTCAGAGAGACTTCGGCAGGGGGTGCAGGCTGGGCCCCTAGCTCTGCCCTCCCCCAAATGGCTGTGCCGAGCCGTCCCCAACAGGCCTCAGCCTCCGGCCCCATCTCAGTGTGGTGGGAGGTTCCTGTGGCCACAAGGGATGGAGGGGGGAATGGGTGGGGGGTGGGGGAGGAGACCCCAGGGTCAGTGGCTCTGAGCCCCGCCGGGGAAGCCTGGCCACGCCCACCCACCCATACTTACTTTCTGGGTCGAAGGCGTCGACACGGCAATCCCCATGCCGGACCCCGGGAGGACAGAGAGGACCTTGTACTGGGGACAGGAGCGCACGTCACCACAGGCCTCTGTCAGGGGACAGGGTCCTGCCGCCCTCCCTGCACCCCGGGTGTACCCTGGGGGGCTGCAGACGACGAGACGCACTGTGGGGAGCAGGTGGCCCCGCCGCCCCCTCAAGGGTGCCTGCTCCATGGGGCCACACATCGGGGACGCTGGCTGGAAAATGCCAGGGTGAGGACAGCTGTCCGTGCCCTCACCTGAACCTGCCCGGGGCAGGGGTCTCAGGACGAGAGTTGGATACACCGTGGTCACAGGCGCCCAGACCCTGAATGCTGGGCCCACCTCGCCACGATGTCCCGCCCAACCTGTGAGGGAACGCCAGGCGCCAGCCCACAGGAGGTAGGGTGGCAGGACCCAAGAGCCTTCCGGAAGGGAAGCCCTGACTGGGTGGAAGCCACGCCCAGGGAGTATCCAGGCGGCACCTGCCCAACTCGGAAATGTGTCCACCTTGGGAGCAAACCCCACCAGCCTGCACCTCCGTGCTGTCTTCTTCCCAAAACTGCAGGGAAAACGAAAAACGGGGGCACACCCACCTTCTGGATGTCCGTGATGTCCGCCAGCCGGATGACTTTGTTCCTCTTGGAGGAGCCGGACTTGGAACTCTCAAAGCACAGATAACTACGGGGGCGGGGGAGGGGGGGGAACCCAGCACCTGAGTCCAGGGTCTGCCAGCACGCACGGCCACCCCTGCCGAGCAGACAAAAGGCGACCCAAACAGAGAGCCCCCATCCCTGTCAGGTGCTCTGGCCTTTTACAAAAGTTTTCACTTTTAAATACAGCTTCACAGGTTTTCAAGGTTAAAATCTCCCACTCCGCACTGAACCTGAAATGCACCCCCAGATGCCGGGACGCCCCCAGAGAAGCACATGAGTGTCCCTGAGGCCTGGCCGGGGTCTCCTCGCCCAGCTCCCTCAGCCAGGGGTGGAGAGGAAGCCTGGGCCCTTGGCTGCTGCTGGGAGTATCGGGGACAACTGGCCAGGGGCCCCCAACACTGAGAACAGCCCCCGGCCCCCCCAGGGCACAGACGTGGGGATAAGCTGAACGCAGTCTCGCCCTCGAGTGGAAAAGGCAAAGTGTCTTCGGGCTGCTTCTCCCCAAAAGCCTCCTGACGAGGCCCCTGCCTGCACCCGACACTGCCCGGGGCCGCTCACTCACTTCTCCGTCACGTACAGCACGCCATTGCGGATGTAGTCCGTGGGCATCTTCCGGTCCCGGTTGATCAGGCAGCAGCGCCAGCCGTTCTCACACACTGCGGGGACACGGCCGCCGGGTTGCCTGGGGCCCGGCCGCGCCAGCACCCACCTGCACTCTCGCCCCCAGGCCAAGGCCACGGGGGGTGGGGGGAGCACGTGGAGAACAAGGTGGCCTTGGGGGTCCTTTTCCACAAAAACGTGGGGGTTTTTGTTTCGTGTTTTTAAAGGGAAAGGATGCTGGTCGCACAGCAAAGGAACCAGGCTCCGAGAGCGTTTCATGTTCTAGGTCCCGGGACGAGGGCTCAGAAGGTCAAATTGAACCTAATTTCTCCGGGGCGTTCCTTCCATGGCCGGGGAGGCGCTACAGGCCAGAAAACTTGAAGAGCCCGGTTCCCAGACAGCCCACGGTTTGGGGGTCTTATGGGGAGGTCCCTTCTGGGAGGTGGGCAGGGATCTGGGTCCCTGTGTCGGTGGGGCTGCAGACAGGCCGAGGTCCACGGGGCTGGGCTGGGAGGACCGCAGGGCTCCAGCTCCGTGGGCTGCGGCAGGACGTCCGCTGTGCGGCAGTGCAGACGGCGGTCTCCCCGCCCCCGGCCGAGCTGGTCCCAGACGCACGGCACACGTACCTGCCAGCGGTCGCTCGTTCTCTGTCAAGTTGAAGATCTCATGGAAACTGCCCTTCTTGGTGCCGTGGAAGCGGCCGGCATCTTCGTCCTTGCTCAGGCCGGCGGGAGCACTGGACACGTAGCTCCGAGAGGCGGTCGTCTGCAGCTGCCAACAGGGCCGCATCCCCGTCAGCCAGGCCCGCACGGAGAGGGACAGGGGCTGGGACACGAACAGCCGCCCCTCGCGCCAGCAGCGGACACTCGAACAGCCATGTGTGCCCAGCTGTGGGCCGCGGGCCCCCCCACAGGACGGGCGCCAGGGCCTCATCGGCCCCTCCTGCTGCAAGAAGCCCCACTACAGTGGGGCACCCCATTCTCCCAGCGACACCCCAAAACGCCACACTGAGCCTGCACCCCAGCACACACAGACCCAGGCCGCGGGCTCGGTCAGAAGTGGTTACGGCACAGGGCACCAGAAGCAGTGTCAGAAAGGGAGACAGCCACGGCACAGCACAGCGTCAGACCCGCGGGAGGAGAGGGCTCCCGCACAGCCCCGTACCTAGTCGTGCCCGGACAGCTGGCCACGAGGGGGACCACAGACACATGTGACCGCGACAAGAGAAAAACCAGGGTCCATGTGGCACCAGGTCAGACACACACGGGCTGGGCGAGCTGCCAGGCCCGGCCCGTGCGGGTCGCCACCCACCAGGGGCCCACGTCCTGGCTTCCCTCACGGTCCCCTGAGAGTGGCCCCCACGAGGCGGCTGTGACCCCAGGAAGGCCCCTCTGGGCCACACAGGGCTCCCTGCTCGCCGTCCAGGAGCCAGGCTGCTAGTCTCTCTGCCCTTTCCCTGGGGTCCACCGCCTCACACACACCCACAGAGCACCCGGCTGCTGAGTTCAAGGCCCCGGACTAGCTGCACTGTCCCCAAACTGGGACCATGACCCAGAGCTTCCCCCCCACTGACAGAAGTGTCAACAGATCACTAAACACCCTTCTCCCCAGAGCACACTCATGCAGGAGACTCTGCAATGCAATGCCACCTCCTTCAGGAAGCCCTCCTGGACCTGCCAGGAGTTCTACTGGGCCCAGAACTGCCCTACTTGTCTGAGCCCCGAGGGCAGCACCTGGGCTGGCTCTGGACATAGTGTCCATTGAATGAAATGTGCACCCAGTCCCAGCCTGTGAGCACAGGGTGGGCCCATCTCAGGTGCTGCTTGGCCTTGTACCTGAGCCTCAGAGCTGGAGACAGCTGAACCTGGCACCCACCCCCAGAGTGACCACTGCCGGGGCATCCTCCTCCCGAGGCCCCCAGGCTCTCTGTGGCCACGGCCAACACCCCACAGCCTGTGCGCCCTGGGCCTGCCCATCCCCAGAAGTCCGTGGGAGGGTCCCTGCGGGACCAGGCAGGACAGGCCTCCACCAGCAGCCGGCCCCACCCAGGACTGGCCGGCCCTTCAACCACAGAGCAAGGTCACAGGGAAAACTCCTCAGTTGTCTGTGTCCCGGGCCCCATGACATGGGAGGGACCAAGTGTGACTGTGAGGCAGGGCAGCTCTCGCCCCCCAGACCCCCAAAGGACGCAGGCTCACCCTGCGGGGCATGGCAGCGGTGCTGGAGCGCTCTTTGAGCTGGGGGTCGGTGGGCAGGCTCCTCCAGACGATGTAGGGGGTGTCGTACTTGGCTCGAAGCCTTGGGCAGCGTTTGAAGATAAAGTCGATGAGGAAAAACTTGATTCCAGCATAGAGTCCTGGGGGGCACACAGCCCACGTCAGCCAGGACCGGCCACTGAGCCCGTCAGAGCGCCGCAGTTCGGGGCTGGCACTGGAGTCCGGCGGGCAGCAGCGGCCCGGCCCCGCCCCGGCCCCCGACGGCACCGTCCGCTCACCCATGGCGAGCCCCAGCAGGCGGTAGGGGAAGAAGCAGGAAGCCAGGAAGGCGGCCCACAGCGCGATGTACAGCTTCTGCGTGATCTCCGGCTGCACCCACATGAACAGGCTGCAAGGGAGACAGGGCTCGGCTGGGCATGGGGTGCGCCCCCGACCAGGTGGCGGTGGCAGGCGGGCAGGGACTTACTTCTTGATCTTTTCCAGGATGTCGGCCATCTTGCCAAAGAGGTTCTGTGTGAGGCAGCAGCCGCGGTTAGGGCAGACCCGGGGCTGCCGGTCCCGATGGCCGCGCCAGGAGGGCCCCGGGTTCCCAGGCAGCCCGTGGTCCCACCCCGCCCCCTGGGCTGAGCATGGGGGGGGGGGTCCTGTCTGAATCGTGGGTTAACATGGGGATGGTGACGTCGGACCCCGCCCTGTGTGCCTCCCACCCCAGGAGCTGGCTGGGCCCTGGCTGGCAGGGGCTCCTACCAAACCAGGGGACCCTGCCACGCCTCGGGGTTTATCTCGGGTGTGCAAGAGGGGCCATAGGCAAACCATCTGTAGGCCAGCTGACGGCGGCCGCACCTGCGCTCTCTGGGCGACGTCCAGCACCAGCTGGAACTTCTCGGACACGGTCAGGTCCTCCTTCGGAGGCTCCTTCAGCAAAGGGGGGGGAGGAGTCCGCTCAGAGTCCGCGCCTACGGGGCATCCAGAGGGGCCCGCACGGTGGAGTGGGCGGGCAGTGGGTACCCTTATAACCATGGGGCTGAGGCTCACCTCTGAAGGTGCTTCTGAGACCACGCAGACCCCCACCTCACTGCACAGGCAGGGAAACCGAGGCAGGGGGACCAGATCCGGCCCTGCCTGTGCTCATTCAGCAAAGTCCTGCCGAGGGTCCCCCGGCCCTGGCAGGCACGGGCCTAGCCCCAGACATGCTCTCTGGCCCTGCCTACACCGCCCACTCAGCACACCTACTGTGTGCCCATGCACACAGTGGGCACTCAAACATCTGACGAGGCCCTGAGGGCTCCTTCCTGCCCACGTTCAGTGGCTCTGCCCCAGAGACCAGAGTCCCCCCTACAGCAAGGTCAGCAAACTTTCCATGCGTGGGGGCCAGAGAGTGGACAGGTGGGCTCTACCACAGCCACTTGGCTCCGCTGTCCCAGCCCCAAGGCAGCCAAGACAGGTGCCACTGAGCAGGCGTGCGGCCAGTACGACATCAACAGCAGAGCCGGGCAGCAGGCCAGGGTGGGTGCCCTCTGGGCCGACCCTGCTCTGCACCTGCTGGGCCAGCCCAGGAGGGCGGGGTGGGTGAAGCGGGGCAGCCCAGCCGGGGCCAGCGAGGGGACTGGGGTGGCCAGCTGTCAAGGGGTCAGGGAGCAGCTGCCTGGGGCTCTGGGCTGGGGACGGCTGGCCGCCTCCTCCAGCCTCTCCTGTGCAGGCAGGACTCCGGGTGGGCACCCACGCAGCTGCACCCAAAGGCCTCAGCAGCCTGTGGGGGACCCAGTGGGGCCTGACCCAGTGGAGACAAACGAGACTTTCACCCCGAGACTCACCACCACTTCGGACACTTCCGGCACAATGCTCCACTGTATCCTCCAGCCCCTGCAACCGGGGAGGCCTCGGGGTTACAGGGCCGCCCTCGGGCCCACCCAGCGCACCAGACGGGAAGAGCACCTGGGACTCACACAGGGGACTGCAGAAGCCCCCATCCCTCACATCTGAGACTACTAGTGCCACCCCTGGCGTAGGCCATTCAGGTGGCCCTCTCGAGGGGCAACGGGACCAAAAGCCGTTGGAGGTGAGCAGGTGGGGCAGCCGTGGGCTGCGGTGGGCGAGTCCCGTCCGGGGCGGCCCCTTCCTCAGCGCATTTCAATGTCTCCTACGAAGCCCATTACCCGCGGGCCGGCCTTGGGAAGTGCCCGGAAAACAAGCGTGTGCATGCTGCCCGGCCGGGCCCAACGTGGGGCCCGGGGCCCTCAGGCCTGGTGGCAACATGGTCACTGTGCCAGGGTGACTGCAGGTTCACAGGGACCTGGTGGCCCAGGAACATGGCTGTTCGCACAGGGACACTGGCCTCCCCCCAGAGCCCCCATGGCCACAACTACGCAGAACCCAGGGCTCACTCTGACCCAGCTCCTGTCCCACAAACACTGGCAGGGACCTGGCAGGGGCCCCACAGGGCCCAGCACCCTGGACGCTCCATCCACCCCCACCCCACATCTTCCCGGAGGCCTGGGGGGACCTGGGGGGAGCAGGGGCGGGGAGTTTGGGGATCGCCAGTGGCAGCTCCAGCGAACCTGGGGGTTCGGAGCCTGTCCCAGGGCTGACCCTCAGCCCCAGTGCCCTCGGCAGCGTGGGGACACAGCACAGCCACGCAAGGCCCACCGGCCCACCTACCTGGCTATGAGGTAGTTGAGGGACAACCTCAAAATGGCCAGAAACAGGAACATGGGCACGGCCCAGCCATACCAGATGGCGTTCATGTAGACCTGCGGAGGGGGGGCGTGGGGGTGTGGCTGGGGCCTGCGGCAGGGCACCCACCCCGCCAGGGAGGCAGGCGGATGGCGGACGGCGGGGCGGCCAGGCCCGTTTTCCCCGAAGCACCCTGTCCACCGGGGGGCCACCGCCCTGTGTCCTAGGACTGGTGGTTCACAGGCTGGCCGGGCCCCGGGGTCCCACAGGGACAGACCCCCCTGCTGTCCCCTGCGCCCAGCTGGGAGAGCAGACCAGAGCACCGCCGAAGGTCCCTTCCCAAGCACCCCCTCTGTCAGGCACGGTGACCTTTGCCTGACCCTCCCAACACCCTCAGGGTGGAGAAACTGAGGCCGTCCTGTTCAGAGAAGGCGCCGCCCTGCCCATGCCGCCGGGCGCACTCACAGTGAAGGCAATGGCAGACGTGTAGACGGAGTACCAGTCGGATAAGGCGGAGAGGTTCTTCACGAAGCTGGTAACAGGCCTGGCACCGCGCTCTAGGGACAGGACGGGGCACGGTCAGCCCGCCCACAGGCAGGCAGGCCTGGAGGCCAGGCCGGCCACACCAGCCCGGGGCCCCGCAGCAAGGCCCTCGCAGGCTGCAGAGGCTCCCGAGGAGGACGGCAGAGCCCCCGGCCAGCCCCCACCCCCAGGCTCAGCCCACCGGGGACTTACTTAGTCGCCGCATGTTCTCGGTTAACCTGAAAGGCAAGGGGGGAGGTGAGGGCCAGCAGGGACTCACCGTGCCTGCCGGGCTGTGCTGGCACTCGGGCAGCAGCACAGACCCAGACTTGCGGGAGCCACACGCCAGGAGGCACCTGGCTGCTGCCCCCCACACTGGAGGGGGTCCTGCCTGCAGACTGTCCCTCAGCTCCCGCCCACGATCCCCAGGAACCCAACCAGCTGGTGCCCCGGGAGCCCCAGGACCTACACCAGCACCTGGCACGGGGCGCGTTGCTCCAACAGGCATAGGACTTGTGAAGCCCAGGGCGTGGGCACTGCCCCCCAAGCCCACTGTCCCTGTGTGTCACGAGCACGAGTCAGACCAGAGTGGCAGGCACAGCAGTGCAGCGGCCCCCAGAAACCTGTGAGACCTGTGGGCATCGGCCGTAGGAGGCCGGCAGGCCAGGCCACAGGCAGCCCCACCCCCCCTGGCGGGCCCACCTGCGGGCGCTGAGGGGCTCCTCCGTCTCCACGGCGCTCTCCTCCGGCTGGAACCGGAAGTCCTCCACGTACTCCCCGAACTTCTCGTACAGCCACTTCTGCACACGGGGGCACAGCCCCTGGCCGCGCCGGTCTGTGGGGACAGGTGGGGTCGGCTGAGGCACGGGGCCACAGGGCTGGACCTGCTTCCACCACCAAGCCCGGCCGGGCCTCCGTGGGCCTCGCCCAGGGCCCCTCCTGACAGAGGCCGTCCCCACAGTGGCGCTGTCTGGGCAGCGCAGCACAGCGCACGCGGGCCGGCCTCCCATCCCACCGGGCGCGCTGGTCTGCTTGGAAAGTGGCTGGGGGGGCTCACTCCCAGGACCCTGAGCCCCCGCCAGGGGACAGGTGTTGGAGACAGTGTGCTATCGGGGCCCCAGCAGTGAAGTGGCCTCTTCTCCTTCTCTTCCACAGCCAAGGATCGAGAAAGCCACCCACACCACAGACCCAGAAAGCCGGGATGAATCCCACAGAATGGGGGAGGGGCAGGCACTGTGGGTGCAGGTCTCAGAGCTGCCCACCACCATCAGAGGGCCTGGTCCCCAGGCCCCCACCCCCACCCCCACCTGAGGAGCGGGGAGGACCCGGGGGGCCCTCAACGGCCTGAGGGTCTGAGTGGGAGGCAGGGGCAGTGGTGTTCCCACAGCAGCTATGAGCCGGCTTCTGGACACATTTAAAACGCAGGTAACGTTCACCAGCCAGGAAATGTCTTTTCAACCACTAAAATACGTGAAAACACTCGGAATGCTGAAGCTGACGGGCTGCGGTCTTCAGACCCCCCAGGTGTGGCTCGGGCCTGCTCTGGGCCCACGACGGGTTTCGGGGTCCAGAGCCCTGGCTGCAGGACCGCGACCCAGACTCCTGTCCCCGCCTCCCTCACGCTGGGCTGCACTTGGTGCCCTGCCCTCGGGGGCCACAGCTCTCCCAGGGACACAGCCAGGTGCGGGCTCTGGCAGGGGCGGGGGCCACAGGGCCCCACGGAGTCGGGGTCTTGCACCCCACAGGGCTCCGCCCATGACAGACTTGTCATCGTCACGCACAGCTTGGTTCCCGGGTCCCCTGTGCAGCTGCTGGGCCACGGGCTGTGGGGCCCAAGAACACAAGGACACCTGAGCCCTGGAGATGCAGCAGCCGGTCCTGCATCCGGGCCCCAGGGCAGGGACCCACACCAGCATCTGGCCGGAAAGCTAGCAGGCCAGGCCCTGGCCGGGGTGGGGGGCAGCGGCCCTGGGGCGGCCTTCCTTCTGGGCCTCAGTCTCGTCTCCACACTGGCCAGGGCTTACAGCTCAGGCCCTCCTGGGGTAACATCTGAGCCCCCCACACAGGCAGGGGGCTTCCCGTGAATGGTCAGCCTGCGGGAGTGCGTCCTGGGTCCGAGCTCCCAGAGACCAGGGCCCACCATGGCTCCCACGAGGCCCCCTCGACAGCCAGATGGAAACCCTGGCTTCCTCCCACACCGCCCCCCCCCCAGGGATAATTTAGAAATCGTGGCACGTGGAGAGAGCTGCAGAATTCAAGCTATGGCTGGAAGAAGGGTGGAGACCAGGGTTGGCTCTGGGCCCTGCCGGGGGGGGGTGCAGGGACACAAACCAGCCACAGCTGCCGCCCTGCTCACTTGCCCCCAGGTGGGGGGGCATGACCGGCCACACGGCCAATGCAGTAGGGACACTGCTTCCCTGCGGGGAGGGCAGCACCCACACGGCATTGCCCACCCACGAGAACCGCAACCACGTTCTCGAGGAGCAACGCATGTTTGCTGCATGGCGGCCCATTCCTGGGGAGACACCGGCCCGGTTCCTACGAGAGGTGGCCCCGGCAGCGAGCATGCATGTCCTGGAGCAGGATGGACACCCTCCATCACCACCAGCACCCACCGGGAGGGGCCTACCTGCACCGTTACTGGGCTGGGCCTGGCTTTTCGGAGGCTGCGGGGCTGTCTGCTCCTCGGTTCTGGAAGAGGGGAGAAGTGGGGGCCTGACGTCCGCCAGTGCAAACCACAGCAGCCTGGCTGTGCCCCAGGGCTCAGAGCAAACCCCACCGTGCCACGTGCCACGTGCCACGTGCCATGCCACCAGCGGGCGCCCTCTGGTGCCCTCACTGTGTCTTAAGAGGCATAACTTTTCCTCTTAATGACCAAGAACACACGCCTTGTACACGCACAGCCCTTTTCTTCCCCGTTAGTTTTCACGCACTCACTCTCCTTGCTTTACCATCAGGCTCAGAATACATAGCTCTCTGTTGCTAGTTAACTGGCCACCAATGAAGACTTAACACAGAATTATCAAGCACCATGCAGGCTACAGACTGGGCGACCCCCTGCCCCAGCCGGTGTGCTGTGCCCAGGTCCCCGCTCGGCCCACGCCCGCCACCTGCCTGGCTCCCAGCCCCTGCACACAGCCACCCCCAGCCTCAGTGGTCGCCCGGCCCAGAGCGCCCTCCCGGGGGCGCCAGCTCCCAACTGTCAGCAGGACTTTCAGCCACAGGCCTGGCCACGGGTGCCGTCTCCTGGTGCTCTGGCCAGCCCACGCCTCCTGCCTGCCCCAGCCGGCCTCCCTTGCTCTGCACTGGTCCAGGCTGCTGCTTCTGGGCTCCCAGCGTGCCCATCTGGCAGAGACCCCAGGATGTGGGGAAGGCACTGCTCCAGATGAACCTCAGCAGGGCCTGGGGATACAGGGGCCCCAGGACCGGGACTGTGGGGCCGGGAGACCCTCAGCACATGCGCACCCTTGGCTTCAGTGAGGAGGGTGCAGTTTCTGCCTTGTTCACACGGGGGACTCATTCCGCACCTCTGAGAGCTTGCACGGTTTGCAGGACTGTAACTCCACAACCGTGACCTAGAGCATCGCGGAGGACCCGCAGCACAGGAGCCAGAGGAGTGTGCGCAGAGTCCTGGGGTGGAGGTTTCATCCCGGGGATGAAGCCGTGGTCAGGGAGGGGGCCCAGCCTGCACACCCCTGCTCCCAGGGGCCAGCTACCCAAGTGACCGTCACACCTGCAGCTGACTAAATGGGTGGGGACTTGGAGGGGAAGAAGAGCCCAGGAGGAGGAGACTCCAGAACCCACCCAGTTCCCTCCATTGCTGCTCGCCTGGCAGTGCAGCTGCTCACCTGACTTTCAGCACTTCCTGGACCTTCTGCTCCAGCTCCATCCGCCGCTGCCGCTCCCGGTCCAGCTCCTGCCGCAGCGTCTCTGCGTTGGTTTCCTCTCGCAGCTTCCGAAGCTCCTCCTCTGTGCGGAGAGAAGGGCCGGGTGACTGCCTGCCCCTCGGGCTGTGCGGGTGGGAGGGGCAGCGCACTCGGCTGCAGGGGACCGAGAGGCCCTCCTGCCTGATGGGAGACACCGGCTGCCCACTCCGGTCCCGAGTGGACCCCCGTAGGCGGGGCTATTAATCAGGCTCCTCTCGCGGGGCGGGGCAAGTGAGCGGCAAGGCAAAGGTGGGACTGCTTCACTAAGTAAACCGGTGCAAGACGGACGTCCCCCACACCTCAGCCACCATGCTGACTGGCAGGATGCCCAGGGGCAGGGACCCAGGACCTGGGCACTGGGCAACCCTGAGAGGGGGGTGGCCAGACGAGCTCAGCCAGCTAGGGTGCTGACAACTGGAGAGCGAGGCCGAGGTCCCCGGGGAACAGCAGGGGCAGGTGCGGGAGGCCCAGAGACTGGGGGACATCGGGGGGAGGGCATACGGAGCCCGGCGCTGGGTCTAGGGGGACAGACACATGCCGCGTGGCTGCCGTGGGAGCTGCGGGAGGAGGATGTGAGCTGAGCCATGGCCCAAAGAGGTCCCCGTCCTGACCTCTGCAACCGAGTGGCCTCAGGAAGACCAGGGACTTGGCAAACTCGATGCAGCTGAAGGCAGGAGAGGGCCCTGGGTTTCCCGGGTCACACAGATTCATAAGAGGAGGGTCAGAGGTCGGAAAGCAGAGAGAGACTGGGAGCAGCCTCCTGTGACTCTGGGGTTGGGGGCGGGGTGGGGCACGGCTTCCTCTGGAACCTGGAAAAGCCGGGAGCAGCCCCTCCCCTGAGCGTAGGACTGCCCGGCCAGGGACCGGCCTGTGCAGCTGGGGCCGAGGCTGGTTTACTGGCCCCGTGTGGCGGGGGTCCGCCAAGTGCTGTGTTACCCCCGAGGTCGGCTCAGTATGGCCTGTGGCAGGCACAGTCCAGGTGACAGGTCACCACAGGCCACCTTGACTGTGGGGCTGACAGGCTGAGACCCTGCAAATGGAAATGCCACAGGAAAAGCTACGTTTGCTCCCAAGACCTGGGAGCATGACTGGGTAATTCACCAAAATCAGGGGGAGGATTGGGCCCGGGGGTGACAGGGTGTGACTAGCGGCCAAGACTGCAGGTCGCAGGGACACCCTGGCCTGGGCTGGACAGTGAGGTGCCAGGGCGACCCTAAGGCTTCACCTTTTGGCCTGGCCGCCTCACCGGACTGGGGGACACAGGGCCAGGGCCAGGGCCAAGCCCAAGACCACGACATTCGGGCCAAGGTCACTGCCACAGCCCCAGGCCCAGACGCAGGCAGCAGCACAGGTGGCTGTGTGTGAGCCGCAGGACCTTGTGGGGCGGCACAGAGGGGGGCGGGACTGGGGGGGCCGGCAGTCAGAAGACCCCGGGCTGGGCAGGTGCCTCGAGGGAAAGAGCCGGTGCCTGCGCGTCCACGGCCCCGCTGCCCACCTGGAGAGTTTGTGACTGGCTGGATTCTGTCACTGACCGAGGACAAATGTTGACATCTGCTCAGGGCCCGGACACTTGTGTGGTACGTGTTCAGAGCCTTGCCTGCGGGGCTTGGCCCGGCTCCGGGATCTCCGTCTCAGCTTGCCCAGCACGCTGCCCCCTCCCCCCGCCCCTCAGGAGCAGACCCTCCCCAACCAGGGGGTGGGGGGCGACACCCTCGCTCATAGGAAGCTGTCCTGCCTGGCTCCAGTGAGCCGCGGTTTCCCCCAGAGAGCCCCTCCCCCAGTCCTGGGAAGCAGAGCTGTCCTCCCTGGGCCAAGTGTCCCTCCCGAGGACTGAGGCCACCCAACCCAGGGAACTTGGTGCCTCCTGAGGACCCAGAACCAGCTCTGCGGTCAGGGCTGCACGAAGGGGCAATCAGAAAGAAGGGGCAGCCTCTGAGCTGGGCCTCGGGGCCCCTGAGTTACACTCAGGAGCAGTGTCCAGCTTAGGCCAGGCCAAGAGTGCAGAGCTGCCCAGGGGGCGGGGGGCGGGGGGCGGGGAGCGGGGGGCAGGGCCCGGGGGGTCCTGTTCCAGACCATAGGATGCTGGACCTCTGCCCCCAACCTTGCGGGGAGAGCTGTGCCCCCACCACTCACAGTGGGCTGCAGTACAGCCCAGGGGGCGGAGCCAGGCTCGGGGGCGGAGCCAGGCTCGGGGGCGGAGCCAGGCTGGGGGGCGGAGCCAGGCTGGGGGGGGCAGGGCCCTCACCAGCACACTCTGGGACCCCTCCTACAGGCCCAAACCCACCCTCTTTTCTCACCTCGGCTCCCACTCTCCCAGCTCCCCTCACACCCTCCAGTCTGGCCCCAAGCAGCACACCACGCCCCCAGGCCGACATTCAGCAAGGGTGCCCTGGCTCAGGCCCACATCCCCCAAACGAGGACCTGTCTGCTCCACCTGAGTGACGCTGCCAGGACCCACCTGACTCCAGGAGGAGCCAGGAAAGACGGAGGAGGGGCGGCCACAGGACGCGTGAGCTGCGGCTGGCCATGTACCGGGCAGAGAGGACAGTGGGGTGGGGAGGGGCCCCGTGGGAATCCTTCTGCCAGCCCCCAGGACCGGCCACCAGCACCTGAGGGGTGTCTGCACCCTTTACAGCAACACGGCCCCACAGCAAAGGCCTCAGCCTCCCCCAGCCTCCTGGGACGCGGCCTGAGGACTCGGGGACACTGAGAGTCCCCAGCTGCCACGTCCCTGGAATGCACAGCACCTGCTGGGGGGCAGCAGGGGGACCCAGGTGATCGGGCTTCCACACCCCTGACAGGTGACCAGCCCAGGGTCCCAGCCTCCAGAGGGACCTCCGCTCAGCTGCGTGCTCAGCCCAGCAAATACACCTGCCCCTGTGGGGACAGCACTGTGACAAAGCAGCCACACCCCGCCTGGAGCAGCCTCAGGTGGGCCCCTGAGAACGGACCTACCGCACAAGCCCCGAGGCTGTGCCCTGCCAAGCACTTGGCCCCTCCAGAGGTGAGTGTGTCCCGGCGCAGGTGGCCCCCGGGACCTCCTCCGAGTGGACTCTGACCCAGTGACAAGGGGACAACCAGGGTCTCGGAGAGACACAGCAACCCGCTGCCCTCCTGTGGGCCTGCAGAGACCTGCATGTAGCCTCTGCTCTGGGACCCACTTCCAAGCGGGGCCTCTGGAGCTACAGGCCTGGCCCCCAGAGCCTGGGCAGTGATGGCTCCCGGTGCTCACCTCCGGAGGACCAGCCGGGCGCTTGCGCCTGCTGCGCCCCACACCCCACAAAGCCCCCTGCCCCGGTGGCTGCAGGGCTGGCCCTCCCCAGCCAGTGTGGGGACAGGGGCCACCCCAGGGCAGGCTGTGCAGGGACAGTAGCCCCCAGATACAGCCTGGAGATCAGCGCATCCCAGGTCCCAGTAAGGCCACGAGAAGACGTCCCACCTCTTCCAAGGGTCTCATTTCCTGGTGGCTCAAAAGCAGCTAAACATTAAATAAAACCGTTGGGCAGTTAGTGGCTATTCCTCTCACAAGCCGCCTCTCTGGGCGACTCTCCCCCAAGCCTGAAATAATGGTCTCAGCAATGACAGCCACCCTCACGGCCCGTTCCCTCCGACGGTGACACATTTAGGTCAGCTGCAGCACGCAGACCACAGCGGGCCCTGCGCACGGCACAGGCCTGTGGCTCCCCACCACCGGCGCTCTCTCCAGTACGAGCAGAAGAGCCAGGCACCGGCCTCCTGCCTAAAAGTGCTGAGCCGCATACTTGAACAGTGGCCTCCTCTCCCCGGCCCCCACCGGACCCGGGGCCTCTGGGAGCTTGGGGCTGTGCAGCTGGGCCCCCGGCTCTGCTCGGCCTTCCCGCGGTCACTCGGCCTACCTTCTGCGGAGCCCTGGGCCCTGGTCTCACACGGGACTGTCTGTCTCTGGGGCTACTTGGGGGTCCCAGGGTGGGGGACTGGGCCAGGCCGGGCCCACCCCGTCCCCAGCAGACACCCCCAATGCACCAGGTGGAGGGTGTGACACCGCCCCCAGGGCCAGGCGAGGAAGCCCCCACACAGCCCGCATCAGCTCTCCTGCTGCTGCCGTGAGCACGGCCAGCGCTGACAGGGGCCAACACGGCCCGACACGGGCCGACACAGGCGCTGACCCTCCTCTGACAACCTCGGAGGGCGAGTCCAAGGTGGGTGGTGGGGCTCCTTGGGCTCCGGGGGGTATTTCCCGGTGGTTTCCAGCTCCTAGAGGCACCTGTGTTCTGGCGATGACATCGCTGTGACCTCTGACCCGACCTTCCTCCTCTCTCACAAGGTCCCTTCGATGACAATGCCCGCCCCCATAGGATCATCTGCCATCTCAGATCCTTAACTCCACCACTGCCGCCAAGTCCCTTTGCCGTGCAAGGTGCCACGTTACAGGTTCTGGCAATCAGGACATGGATGCTTTCGGGGGGTGGGACTGGTCACCACAGTCCCCCTGAGATGAAACTCTGGGTCCCAGGAGGCCCCAGTGGCTCTGGGGTGGGGGAGTGACATCCTCCCACCTGGCCCAGGAATGCACAGCTCACAGCACAGGGAAGGGCACCCTTTGGCAGGTCAAAGGGGTGCGGGGGCCCCAGCAGGCCCCCGCCTCCAGCTGAGCCCCAAATGCACCGGAAGCAGGAGTTGCCCAGTGTCCCCCGTGGTGCCCTGAGCCAGGCAGCCCTCACCAGCTTCAACTCTCGCGGTGACAAAGACGCACGGAGAGGACACCGCCACGAGCCCTCGGCCTTCCACAGCACGCACGGTGGCAGCCCCGGAGCCCCTCCGCCCATCTGCAGGCGCCCTGTGCCCGGTCCACCTTCCGCGCAGGAGGCCGTCGCTCCCCAGCAGCTCAGCTGTCACCAGCGGGGCCTGGAGGGGGGGCCCCACATGCCTGCCTGTCAGTCAGGCCTCCAGTCACAGCCCTTCAGGGAGGGAAGGACCCCCGCCCAGCGGCCCAGGCAGGGCTGCGGTGTGGCACCCGATGATTCGAGCTTTCTCAGGCCTGGCGATGGCCAAGACGGGCTCAGGGCTCTGCGGCAGCTGCTGAGCAGGCACATCGACCGGGGCTACGGCGGGGGGGCCAGGAGAGCCAAAGTGCCCGCCCTGGGAGTAAGTCAGGACCCCCTGACTCCCAGGGCCCACGGGTGCACCCTGGAGCCAGTAGCTGGCATCGGGACGCACAAACCCCCCACTGCGCTCCTGCTCGAAGGGACGCTCACGTGAGCGAAGGAAGCAGCCAGGTCAGGGAGAAGGGCAGGGTTGGCCAGCTGATCGGGTGACTGGGGAGCCCCCCACCCCCAACTGGCCCACGGCTCCCTGACACCCAAGGGCTCAGGCCACAGCCCGGCCCACTGCCCGGCCTCCAGAGAAGGCACAGGCAAGGAGGGAGACTCGGCTTCCAGGCTATTTTTAAACCTGTGAAAGTAGAACTCAGCCAGCAGTGCTCCTGGCACGCAGCTCAACGGGCCCAGCCACAGCCAGAAATAAAAATCAAGTGATAATCCTTAAATAAAACTGCTTCCCACCAGCCAGGAGCGCCCACCCAGGAACCCCTCAAAAGGTGGCTCTGCCTCCTGACCAGTGGGAGGCCCGACCCCCGGAGGCCCCAGGCCCGGCCCCTTCACCTCCCTCCTCACCTCTCACCCTGACTCTCCGGGCCTCCAGTCTCCCGCCCAACTTGCCCCACACACACCATCACTGGGGACCCTGCCAGGGCGCAGAGCCACACCCCTCCGGGGACCCCCCCCCTCCAAGGGCCCAGGTGTCAGGTCCCCAGCAGAGTGCCCCCTGCTCTCCCTCAGCAGCCAGGGCCGCGTGCTCTGCCCCCTCCTCCCTCGCTCTGCGGAAACAGCCGTCAGGGGAAGTGAGTCACGGCCACTGTGAGCGACGGTCTTCTCTCTCCCTCCCGAGCGCCGACTGCCTGTCATCGGCCACTGCTACCGAGGCGGTGCTGGTGAGCGGCGAACTGCCGGGGACCAGGAAGCGGCGATGGAGGCGCACGGCAAGGCGCCGAGCGGGCGGCGTGTTGCTGGGCTTCAAGCTCATTTCAGGAAAGGACTGGGTGCGGGGTGAACATGTCCCCGTCGCAGTCTCCCCCGTGTGAGACAAGAAGGAAGAGGGGCCGCCAGCACCCCACCCAGAACACCGACTCTCAGGGACCCACGCCTTCCAGCAGAGAGGGTGGGCTGCGTCGCCAGGAAGCGTGTGCGCACCCCCTCCACCCCCTCTGGCCCCTCGCTGTGCAACTGCAGGGGAGCCCTCCAGGCCCCAGCCTCCCCTGAAGCCATGAGCTGTCTGCCCCCTCCCAGCAGGGTGGGGGGCAGTCAGGGACCCCTGGCCCCCAGCATGGCGAGACCAGGCGGCAGGTCACTGTGTGACAGAGCCCAGAGGAAACAAAGGTAACAGAGAGGAGGTACTTAGGGACCAGACACCACAGAGGGTGGGGGCAAGGAAGAGGGGGCCTGGAGAACTGGGGCTCTGGCCGCCTGGGGGGGCCTTAAAGAGAATGTAGAGGGGCGCCCAGTGGGGCAACAAGTCTGTCTGCCCACCGATCTGCCCGCCCACCCACTGGCACCCGCAGCTGCCTGGCCCTGCACCCAGGCCATGGGGACTCTCAGGTGAGGTGGCCACTGCTTCCCCGGCTCCTCCCAGAGGCCCAGCTCTGTACAAGGGGCACGATGTGGGCGAAGAGGGGTCCCCTGTGGAGCTGGAATGCCAGCCCCCCACCCCATGCTCCAGACAGCCTGGTACACAAAGGCCGAGTTTCAGCAGGAGGGGACGGGGAGGGTGCGCTGGCCTGGCAGCCCCTCTCCGCACGGCATGCGTGGGGGCCAGGGAGGGCCACCCGGGGGTGGGGCTCAGCCCGCCTTTCTCAGCCGGGAGCCCAGCAGCCGCTCGGCGGGCGGGACACAGGGTGGAGCTGAGAGAGAAGTCACAGGCCTCTGTCGAAGACATCCCCCACGGAACCTGAGGCTGCCATGGTCCGGGCAGCCACCAGACACGGCAGGGCCTGGACACGGAGCCATGAAAACCCCACTCAGGGGCAGGCATGTCCAGCTGCCTCTGGCTGCTCCCTCACCCGGGACGGCAGGGGCCTCCCCTCCCAACCGTGCACTGAAGGAACAGGAGGGTCAGCAGGCAGGAGCCATGGCTGCCAGGCACCGTCGGCCTCTGTGCCCCAAGATCTGCCCCGGACAACGAGCTGGGACCGGGCGTCCATCCGAAACCATGAACGAGGGAGGAGCGTCCTCACTGGGCAGGAGATGCGGTCTGGGAGGACCAGCGGGCCGGGCACCTGATTTTCTCAGGGGCCACTTTCACGGTTTCCGTGTGGACTCTGCGTGACACAGCCCCCAGCCCCATGGCCCTCATCCGCCTCCCCCGCCCCCCACCGACTGCCCCCGAGAAAGGGTAGAAACGGCTCAGGGAGCACGGTGGTGCCCCGGGCACAGGGGTTCATCCTCCCGGCACAACCAATACTCATGAGTAGAGTTTTTCACACACACACACAAAACCCAGATGCCCCGGAGGGGCATCTCCAGGCCCAAAGGGGAGGGTCCAGAGGGACCTGACCGCCCCACACCCAGCCCGTCCCTGAGGGCCTCGAACACCACGGCGCCTCTCGGGACACTTGCAGCCGCGGGCTGCCCTCCAGCCGCCCAGACTCTGGCCCCAGCAGACCAGTCCAGAACCTCCCCTGCAGGGCCTCCTGGGAAGTCCGGGCATCCAGAAGGCCCACCTGCGGCCCCGACCAGCTTCCCCGCGAAGCCCCGCAGGGCAGCCACGTGGACAGATGTGGGGCAGGGCAGGAAGGGGCCTCCCGGGAGCCCTGGGAGCTCAGGGGCCCTTCTCCCGAGCCAGGCTCTCCAGGAACCGTCACCGCCGCCCCCCCCCGGCTGCGTCCACCGGGCCCCACCTGGCTCCAGCCATGAGCAGGTGGGCGTCGTGGCCCAGAGATGGTGGCAGTCCCTGGCCCGAGGGCTGAAGACCCCAGGACATGCAGCCCCCGTGGGCAGCCTCCAGCCTGTCCGGGGAGGACTCCACAGGCCTTCCTGGTCAGGCGACATGGAATGCACACACGGGAAGGGGTCTCCCTGCGACCCGGCCCCCAGGAAGCCCACGCACCCCCAAAGCCCTGGGAGCACTCCCACCCCACCCCGGTGACCCAGCTCCCGGGACCCAGCTCCACTGTGGGGCGGGTGACGCGCACAGCTCACAAGGCCGGAGGCCCTCGCTGGGCTGCTCCCTCGGGTGGTCGGTGGCGAACGCACCCCTGCCAGCAAGATGGGCCGGCGCGGCGTGAGGCTGTGCGGGACTCGGGGCTACAAAGTGTGCGGTGGTGCTTCTCATTGATTCATGCGCTGCTTTAACGGGCTCAGGGTCCTGCCTCCAGTCACGAGCCGGCACGCGCTCAACTCCTCACTGCCCTGTGCCACTTTCTCACAGAAGGGACATCTGTTCCCTTCAATATTTAATCACCGAAGCGCCGCTGTGCACCTGGCCATTTCCTTCTGTGCAAGAAGCAGCCTGTTCTTCTGAGAGGAAGCGCCACAGACGGCTGCGTGGCAGGAGGGCACTGACCACGGCGGCAGGGACGGGCGGGCAGAGCGTGGGCACGAATCTCAGACACAGCCCCGCCCACGGCTGCAGGTGACAGGGAGGCAGGACGAGCGTGGCACGTGACCCGACTCCCCTCTACCATGAAGGACGTCTCTGGGGCACGCAGAGAAGTGAGGACAGGTCTCCGGGGAGGCTGCGGGCCCGTGAGGTACCCGTGGGGGCTGTGACGGCCTGCTGGGTTTGGGTGAGACACACACACAGGTGTCCGGGGCTCGAGGCCACCCTGCCGTCCCGTCTGAGACGGCCACCAAGCGGCTGGAGACAGGGAACACAGACAGAAGGGGGGACGCGTGGCTGGGAGGGAGGCGCAGCCGCAGGCGGCAGAGTGCTGACCTTCGGGGAAGAGGCGGGTGGGAAACCACAGGGGTCTCGGCAGCGCTCCCGGGGTCTGAGACTGCGAGTGGGTTGTGAGAGGGACACAAAGGAACTAGACTCTGTGGGAAGAGACTTTACAGGTGACCTCTGAGTGACGTCACAGCCCTGGAGGGATGCCCCGGCAGGCACAGCACAGGAAATGCACCCCTCTAACCCCCCCCCCCGGTGCTGAGCGCCCCCCCGAGGCTGCCAAGTGAGCTATCGCCGCCAGGGTGCTGGCCGCCGTCCCTCCCCGGGAACCAGCACCTGGCCACACAAAAGAGAAATGGGAGGAGCCAGACGGGGTCACCGCGGACCTTGGTCACAGTCTGTGCGCAGGGCCCCGGGGAGGTGTTTGCACAGCTGTGCTCACAGCGGCTCTGCTCACGATGGCCAGGTGTCCTCAGCAGCCCGAGTGTTCTCGAGTGGAGGGACGGATTAAAAACAAGGGGGTCTGCCCGTACCCACTTCCCACCCACGGAAACAGGGAGAAGTGCTCACCGTACTTTGCCATGTATAATACACACCCATGGTTCTGGCCCAAACTTTCAGGAAAAAAAATCTTTCGTTTTAATCAATTCATTTAGTTATTTAGGAACAAAACTGATTATCATATTCCGGGGCATGACTTTGCACATGGACATCGTTACTGCTTTCTACGGTTACAGTTTAAACACACAAGCACAAACAAAAGCATTAAAAGCACTCACATAGATACAGAAGTAGTACTACCCCTATATAAGGCACATGCTTATTTTTCCCTCGAAAATTTGGGCAAAAAAGTGTGCATTATAAACAGCAAAATACGGTAATTCCAGGGTGGGCTGGAAATGCTCCGAGAAGCCCGGGAGGTCTTCACACACCAGAAAGCAAGGTGTCACCCTCGGGGGCCTGCGGCGGCCAGGAGGTGGGGGGGAGGGGAGGGTGTGGCTGAGCACCCAGGAGGCAGCAAGCCCGGGGACTGAGGCACCGCGATGCTCAAGTCCACAGTCTCACCACAACGCAAACCCTAGCGGAGAATGATGTCACTGCTTTGAAAACTGGAAAATAAAGGGAAGCGTCCAAGCTCGCACCCTGCCCTTCCTGCACGGGCTTCCCCTGCCCCAGCGCAGCCGAGGGTCGGCTGGGACAGGGAGGGAAAGCGGCAGGCAGAGGGGTGGGGGCTGCCTCCCAGGAGGTGCTGGAGCGAAGCCCTGAGGGCTGAGGACGGGGCTGGGGTCACCCCCTCCCCGCCTGTCTGCCCTGAGGGACTGGACACGACAGGTCCCCTGCCGAGTCCCAGGACACCCTGAGCGGTGACCTGAGCGGTGACCGGAGTGGAGACCCCGCAACGGAGGCCTGGCCCCTCCACAAGGAGCAGGAGAGAAGCAGCGGGGGTCTGGAGAGACACACCTCGCGTCACACGCGGGGGAGGGGGCTGTGGAAAAAGGGCGACGGACGAGGCGACCGGGGAACCTCGAGCCTGTGCTGGGGTGTGTGGCAGCCTCAGAGGAAACCGACTTTGCGGTTGTGCCGTGAGACTTGCGGCTCTCGTCTTCGCGGAGCTGCTGCTACGATGTGTATAGACGGGAGGACAGGGGCAGGGGGGACGCCCGGGGCGGGGCTGTGGTGGGGACGACACTGCCCACTCTGTGCGTGTCTCCAAAACCCCCCTCACCGAAAAGGAAGGCCCCTCCTCGCCACCCGAGGCCGTCCGCGCCGAAGGCCCAGCTCTGACGACACCAGGGCCCCGGGACGGGACACACGCCTCGACCCAGCGTACAGCACAGACCCAGAGGGCGGGTCCCAGGACACAGCGATGCTGCCCTGCGGCTGGGGCCGCCTCTCCTCTGCGGGGCCCCCTCAGCCCCAGGCCGGCGTTTCCGTGGGTCCTGCCGTCCTGCCCTTCAGAAGGACACTGCCCACCCCCTGCCAACCCCTGCCCTGTGTTAGACCGCCCCCCTTTCATGGAGAGCGCCTGGTTCCTCGGGCTCGTCAGGACTCATGATACGACCGATTTCCGGCCACTTGACCCACAAAAGCCTAGTTCCCGAGGTCCCAGCTGCTGACGCGGCGGATCCTTGCCTGGCTCAGAGGGGTTGGTTCCAGCTCCACAGGCGGCCCCGCCCGCACTGGCCGAGCAGCCGGCTGGACGGCCTGCCCTGGGAGCTCACACGTCTCCCTGCAGAGCTCGGCGCCAGCCAAGGTCACAGGCACCTGTCGGGGGGCCTCCCAGGCAGACCCAGCTGGGCCACTCCCCCAGCCAGCTCAGCACCGACCTCGGGAGCGTGGGGAGACCGAGGCTGCCTGGGGGCCAGCTGCACACCTGCCCGCGCGCACATGAGCACACACCCACTCACCCACTGGGGGGAGTGCTGACCAGCAAAGGGGGTTTGCAGGCAGGAGGCGGCGGCAGCCCCTGGGGGCGGACGACGTGCAGAAACGCGGCAACAGCCACATGGCCCACTTCCCAGGAGCAGGAGGCCGGGCACCCCACCGCCTCCTGCCTCCACCTGCCAGCGAGGACCCTCCGGGCTGTCGCTCAGACACGACGACACTGGGTGCCTGAAGCCCCAGGGAGATGCGGGACGGAGGGAGAAACTCCGTGGGGACGGGGAAGGGGGACCCCACGGGGCCTGGTGCTGTCCGCACAGTTCGGGTGTGACAGGCACGGGGCTGGGCTGCTCCCCTCCCCCACGCTCCCCGGCACACCGCCACGGCCTCGGGCCGGCAGGGGGACAACTGCCCGTGCGTGGGCACTGGGCCCGCCGGCCTGGGTCAGGGCACCACCTCGGGGTCACTGCACTTACTCCAAGCCTCAGCTTCCTCACCACTCCAGCAGAGGGTCAGAGGGGCAGTGAGCGATCAGAGGAAACACCCAGGATGGGACACTCTCTGTGAGGGACCTGCAGGCCCCCCACGAGGGACCCCTGCCATCAGCGCCCCCCAAACCGCAGCAGGAGCGCGCGGTCATGTCCCCCACTGTCCCTCCCAACTGAACGCGCAAACCAGACAGAGCAGAGCAAGCACGAGTCTGGTCCTTGTGCAGCTCGGCGAGCCCCGCGCTGACTGCTGGGAACTCGGCGCACCAGATCCACCGAAATAACGCGGTTTCCTTCCTGCCCCGAGGGCGTGGACGTCTCCACCCAGCAAACCAGCAGAGGGGCCACATCTGTCCCCGAGAGCCCAAGGACGCTGTTGTGACCGGCTCCCTCCCCGAGGGCACTCACGTAAGAAGTGTTTCTCCAGTAAGGCGATTTCCAGGTGACCTTTGATCTCATTCAGTCGATCGAACTCCGTCCGGTTAAAGTCCTGGACGCCTGCAGCCATGATGAGGGTTCCCGGGCCGGCCTGGAAGGGAAGCGTGGAGAGCTAGCGTCCTGCGTCCACCCCTCGTCCCCAAGGGGCCCCGAGGACCCCACGCCTGGAGGTGCTGGGCCCAGAGCCCCCACCTGCCACACCCCCACAGACCAGGCCAGTGTGCGGTCGGCCTCAGTTAAAGCCCCCGCCCGTGCACCTCAGCTGCGCTGGCCGGTGGAAGGGAGTCTCGGACAATGCGGAGGTTCCCGGAGCCCCGAGAACGCTCCAGTTTAAAGGAAACCTGAACGAGGGCCCCGACCTCGCCCTCAGGCCGCAGAGGGCAGGAGACCACCAAGTTCAGCGCAGGCCAGTGGTGGGGCGCCCTCCTGGGAGGGTGGGGCGCCCTCCCGGGAGGGTGAGTCCTGCCCCAGGAGCCCTGGCTCCCACACCTGGGAGTCCGGGGAGGGCGCCCGCGGAGGTGGGCAGCCGTTCCCACTGCCAGGCTGCAGGAGCGGAGCGGGCGCACTCCCCGGGTCAGTGGGCCCCAACAGAGCCCTCGTCCCCCTGCAGAGGGCTCACTGCAGCCACCGCCTGGTGTCCCCCTCGACCAGGGGTGGCGCGGGGGCCACCTCACGCCCTGCACACAGGGGGGAAAGGGACACACCCAGGGCCACCGGGCTGCACAAGGGACAGGTCTGTGGCCACCCCACCACACGTCACTGCGCAGTGGGCGAGGAGCAGCACCACGTGCCCGCCAGGCGACGGGGTGGCTGACTCCCCAGGCCCGGTCTCCACGAGCCCTCCAGGCCGGGGGTGGGGGGGTGGAAGGGGACAGGCAGCGAGGGCCCGGTCCGCCCAGTGGAGCAGGCCCTGGGAACCCAAAGGCTGGGAGACCCTCTGCCTGGGCCACCGGGGCCAGGCACTGACCTCCCACCGCTCAGAGGCTCCGAGTCCTGGGCCAGGGGCCCCCGAGGGCAGACCCGGGGTGGGGGGGAGGCGGGCAGACCCCCTCCCGCTGGCCAGCCTGGCCTCCTTGCCCGCCCCCCACCTCGGCAGCCCAGACGGCAGCCACACCACAAGGCTGCACGCCCGACGCCGGTCACAGCAGGTGTGTTGCACACACTTCGCCACAACGTGACGCGAAATTAAAAAAAAGAGGCTGAACGCCTGCGGGGACAGGCGACCGCCTCGCAGCGAAAGCCGGGTGCACTGACCCGCCCAGGGTGAGCGCCGGCGCCCCCACCCCCAGGTCAGGAAAACCGCAAAGCTAGAGGTCGCCTGCACCAGGGCCACCCGGGACACTCGCCAGGGTCCCCGACATGCACGCCCAGCAGCCAGTGGGGTGACTCGAGCCCCACTGTGGCTCACAGGACAGACAGATGCTGGCAGCAGTGTCCCCCAGTGGGCGCGGTGCTGACTGGAGCAAGGGCACACCCCCCACCCCGTGGGGTCCTAGGCCCAGCCACCCCCACCCTGGAAAAAGAGCCCGAGAGGATCGAGAGGAAAGCGAGGGGGCCTGGCGCACAGAGCCCGTGTGCCCACCCTGGTCTGCCTCGTGTGCTTAGGAGGGCGCTGAGACCCCCAGAGCCCTGGGACAGGTGGGCTGCCAGGCTACGTCACTGGCCCTCAGCTCCCTGGCCCATGGGGACACGACCCCAGGCTGTCACCCGACCCCGCACTCAGTCACACACGCCCGTGGGGGCCAGGTTCTGGGTTCCCCCCGAGACAGTTCCTACAGCTGGGAGCCGCCACCGGCCCTGATGGACAGACGGACGGGCAGACTGAGCAGGGAACCAGAACGGCCCGATTGTAGCCTCTGTGTAGGTTCCATGGCGTGCGCACACGCACACGCTCACACTCACACAGCTGGGCACCACAGGGGGGCATCCTTGCTCCTGAGAGGCCCGCCCTCGGCCCTAAGCACACCCGAGGGCCACGGCCCCAGCGCCCTAGGCTGGCACCAGCCACACAGAGCAGACCCTGCTCTCCTCACCAGCCAAGCCTGTGCCGCCTCTGCGCCCGGGACGCGGCAAGCAGGGCCCAGGCCTGGGCGACCCAGGGGAGCGGCCGGCTCCCAGGAGGCAGTACTGGTCGATTATTCGTCCTGCCGGGAGAAAGCGCACAGGCTGGTCTCCGGCAGAGCACTAGTGATCCCAGGAGCCGGGGAAGGCCAGCCCCCACCGGCTAAGAAAGCCTGGCTCAGGCACTCGGAGGGGAAGTGACCTGGCCACTAGATTTGGTGTTCACACCGGGAGGCCACCCACAAGCGGCCTGAGGTGGCTCTGGGGTCTTCACTGGCAGTGGGGGGACTAGGCAGGTGTGCCCATGGGGGACGAGGCCAGGGACCACACCTCCCACGACAGCCAGAGTCTGCCCCCATGACAAAACGCAGACCCTCTGGAAGGCTGGGCCCTCCGGTGCCTGGTCAGGTGGGGGCCACAGAGCCTCAACAAGCCACCACAGACGTGTGCTGCCCCAGTGACGAGGTCCCCACCGACAGGCCCACAGGGACCACTGTCACCACGCGGGCCAACAAGGGCCCACCCACTGCTGAGGGTCAGGGGCACACACCAAGGGCTGCTGGCAGCAGGCCACAGCCAGCAGCCTCCAGACAGCACCCTGTCCATCTCCTTCCCCCTCCCCCACGCCAGGGGCTCCCAGGGGCCAGCATCTCTGCTGCATGAGAAGCTTGCCAACCACCCGGGAAACCAACTGGGAAGGAAATGCAGCTGCTGGACCACCCTCAGTGCAGGAAAGGCAGTTTACCCAGGGTCCAGGGCCAGCCCCACCAGGGGCGGAGGGCGGGGCGTCGGCGGGGGCAGGGCAGGGAGCAAGCCCAGCTTGTCTCTGACCATCCGGGCAGGACACGTCTGCCTGGGTCCACACTCAGCCTGTTCCCTGGGGCTGGGGGACCCCACTGCAAGGGCTCTGGGGTCCCAGACCAAGCAGTGGTGGGGGTGGGGGCGCTCTGGTCCAAGGAGGCCCGAGTGTGCACTCACAGGGTCCCTCAGCTCCTCGCTGTCCCGGGGCGAGGCCCGAGGCGCCTTCAGGGGGACGTCATCCCCACACTCGGTGTCCGAGGCGTTGGGAGACTCTGCCAGGTCGAGGAAGTCGTCTCTCTTGTGACCTCTGAACCTGATCCTGTCCAGCCTCCTCAGCATGTTCAGGACGGAGCCCCTCTGCTTCACCTTGACATTGTGGTCAGACTCCCTGTGAGAGAAGGGGGGGGCACGGTCAGCGGGTCTCCGCCACGTGGGCACAGCCCTGCCCTCGGGGGGCAGCCCGTTCCGGGGCTCCCGCCCCACGCTCCCCCCACTTTCTGCCACTGCTGCGCACAGCAGCCAGCCTACTGTGCCCCACACAGGGCAGAAGGAGCCTGCTGTGTCCACAGGGCCTTCCCAGCAGACCAACGGGCCAGCCTGGGGTCCCAGCCGCTGGGGTCCCGGGACAGGGCGGGGGAGGAACATGGCAACAGACTGAGGGGCTGACGTCCTCACAGGTCCCCCTGACCAGCGGCAAGAACGGGGCTGGGGCTCCGCGAGCCGCCTGGGACAGACACGTGCCCCCGTGTCTGTGTCCCTGTGGGGGCTGTCGCTCCACCTGGCGCCCAGTGCCCCCCTCTCTGCCCCAACCCAGCCAGGAAAACCCAGACAACCCCCCAAATCCCCAGGGGAGGTGTGTGAGTGGCCCTTCCTCTGCGCGTCCCGCCAACCGCACTCAAGCCCAAAGCAGGGCCACACAATGCGGCGCCTGGGGCCGCAGGCCGGACCTCACAGGCACCCGGGCCCCCGGTGTCTCCAGGAGGCCCTGCAGAGGCAGGTTCTGGACACACAGGCCGGGAGCCTGCTCCGCTGCTGACCAGCTTTCTGAGCCTCAGCCCCCACGTATGACGTGGGGACGACCCAGCAGGGCTGAAGTGCCCGAGAGTTTCCAGATGACGGGCGCGCCTGCGGGCTGATGCTGGGCCGGGGCCCGGTAAACAACGGTTATTTCCACACGAGGCAGGAAGTGGGGGAGCAGGATGGAGCCTGTGAACTGGCCCTCAGCGCCCGGCTTGGGTATGTCGCGAAGAACCAGGGCGGCGGGGAGAAGCGCTTCCTGTTTCCGACCGTTGGCACACGGGGCTCCCCAAGGGTTGTGGATCGGTGGGGGGCGGGGAGGGGAACCGCCTGCCCCGCCCTCCAGGGGCCTGGCTCCCCTTGGCGTCCCTGCCCCTGGCAAGGGCCCCACACAGAACAGAAGGCACCAGCGGTGGCTCCGGTCTGCGGGGACAAAGGAGGCATGCGAGAGTCAGGGCAGGGGCTGCGGGCAGGCGCTCCGGGGACAGGTGTGTCTCAGCTCTCCCTGGGGACACTCCAGGGTGGCCGACGCAGCCCTGGTGCCAAAGCCACAGGAAACCCAGTGCCCCCCTGGGCCTCGGGAGAGCGCAGGGAGCGCAGCGCCATGCGGGACCCTGGTGTGAGAGGTGGGGGTGGTGACGTCCCTGGACTCAGGGGCGGGGACGTGTGGCCAGCCATCTGGAAAATATATGCGTAAAGCAGCAGCAAACTCCAGATAGACTAAAAGGTTAAGTAAACTTTAAAAAAAAAAAAGGAGCAGAGAGAACTCAGTGCTTATCAAGTCCCTCACGGTGCGGTGACCGTCTCCTTAGGAGACTGAGGAGACAAGCAGAGAGTCCAGGAGGCCCCACAGTCAAACGGACGAACGAGAAAGTCCGTTGAAGGCCAGGCAGCGACGCCAGGGCTGGGGCGGCGAGAGTGGGCGCAGGAAGGGACACAGCCTCTGCCACGGGACGCACTGAGCTGGTGACGGTCGCTGTGGCCCGGGACACAGACAGGCGAACTCCTGGAGCAGAGGCTGCCCCCCGTGAGAGGAGCCCCAGGCAAGGAAACGAAAGGCAACGAAAGGCGGCCCCACGGTGGAGGGAGCGGCCACGAACACAGATGCCGCCCCCCCCAGAATTCGCCCGTGCAGATGGGCCCTGGGGGCAACAGGCGGGGCCCGGCTCGCTCCCTCTGCGAGAGGGCAGCAGCGCTGGGAATCACCCCCTCCCAGGGCCAGGGCTGGGCGCTGGACTCGCGTCCCGGTGACTGAGGAAGGCAGTTACCTACGCTGCTGCCCCACGGTCACTGTGACAGCAGACAGGCTCTGAAACGCCTGAAGGGGACTCAGGACCCTGTGCGAGGGCCGCAGGCTGACGGTGGTTCCTCAGGCTCCTCCCCCCGAAGTCCTGGGGGGCCTTCCCACTGCCCCTCAGAAGAAATCAGAATACACAAGGGAGGGGACGTGCAGCCGTGGAAAACCCGCGTCCCTTCGCTTTGGCTCCCTGTCAGCCGGCGTCAGGCAGACCCCGGAGCCGGGCCCTGGCCGCCCGCAGCCGGAGGACAGCGTCCAGGCTTGTCCCTCCCGGGCAGAGCTCGCTCCCCGCAGGGCTCGCTCCCAGAGGCTGAGGCCGCCCTCCTCCTCAATCCAGCTCCTGCAAGCAGATGAGGTGGCCGCAGGGGAGCGGGGACAAAGCGCCCAGTGTCCGGGCCTGCCACCATCAGAAGGCACCACGCGCCCAGCCTCAGGGTCGGCACCGGGTCCCTGCGCACTGGGCTACCCGGCGGGCCACGTCCCTCCAGGCACCAGGCCGCCCCAGCCCCTCCTGCCGCCTGCTCACAGCAGCCCACCTCGGCCGGAACAGGCGGCCTGCCCGAGCGAGGGGCTCTGGGGGCTCCGGGGGCTCCGGGGGCTCCGGGGGCTGGCTCCATCCCAGCCGCCCAGCTCCCCCTGACCCCCCCCAACGCAGGTCGCTGCCCAATGAGGACCAGACCCCCCAGCACCCACAGGGTGGGTCCAAGCTGCTGGGCAGCCCCCACGCAGCACCCCCAGGATGACTCCTCTGAACTACGCGCAAGTCCCCGTCTCCAAGTCAGGGCCGGCGACTCTTGATTTTGGGGATGCCTCGCAACACAGCGCACCCCCAACTTCCAGGTGAAGACAGGACGGACGTCCTCGCAGCAGGCGAGGAGGGCTGGCTCCCACACACCAGGCGTGACCCAGAGAGGGGCTTTTCCCTCGGGGCCAGTGTCCGTGGGGGCCACCTCAGCGGGCATTACCTGCACCTGTCTTCTGGTCGCTGCTGCCCTGTGCCCCCCCCAACAAGGCCCCTCCCCAGACCCACGGGAGGAAACCCACCTCCTCGGAGGCTGCCCCAGGAACTAGCCCTAGTGCACCCCCACCAGCACCCCCGGACAGCTCCCCACACACCCACCCCTCGAGGGGACCGGCTGCCCCGTGCCCACACAGCCGCTGGAGAGCGCTCGCCAGCTGAGGCTCCACCAGACCCCTGCTCAGAGGGCACGGTGTTCTGCAGGGAACCTGAGACCGCCCGCCGAGTGGACGCCTGGTGCAGGGCCCGCCAGGCTCCAGGCCCTCTGCTCGCAGGACTGAGTCCAGCAGAACTGGCCGGAGACACAAAGAGCTGCTTCCGCTCTGGAGCCCCGCCGAGCAGCTCTGGACGCACAGAGGCAGCAGCGTCTGGGGAACCAGTGGACTGGGAAAACCACAAAGGACTTTACTCCTCTTTCTGGCCCAGGGTTTTACAATAAGTGGTTCCCAGTCTCCGGGGTCTGTGACATCCCAGACGTCTTCTCTGGAGACACGGCACGCGCTGCTCCCCCAGCCCCCGGCTGCTGCCCCACAAGCCCAGCCGCACCCCCAGGGCCTGGGGCTCGCCCACTGACCACAGGAAGCACCCTGCCCCTGGGGGGTCACTTGAGTGAGGACCGAGGGCCTCCCCGCCCCGCCCCCCAGCAGCCGGTCCCAGCCGCCCGCCATCGGCCAGGCCTCCGTCCTCAGGGAAGATGACCCCACCCCGGGGAGTGCAAAACTCGGCAGTAGGGAGGGCCTGGGAGGGGGCATTGACCGAGAACCAGCCCGAAGTAGCACCCCGCAGCGCCCCTGCCAGTGGCTCCCCAGGACCCCAGAACACACAGATCACGGGCAGCCACGAGGAGCCCTATGCTGAGGGCCTCCCGGGACCGGTCTGGGAGCCTGAGACCCACAGGCCCAGTCCCTGCCTCTCACCTGACGACCCTCGGGTGTCCCCAAACTTGAGGCCTGAGAGCCGCCACCATCAGCCCGGCTCCTGCGGGCGGGACCCAACACTGCGGTCAGCCCCAGGTGCTGCCGGCTCCACCCACACCCCCAGGGCTCCCAGGCTCACCCTGCGGGTCGCAGGTCCCACCCGCAGCCCGACTCGCCGGGCTTGGCCCGGAACCCCAGGCTCAATCGCACGGCCCCTCCACAGCCAGGCCCACCCCCCGCCAGGCCAGCCCCGGTGGCCACAGTGCCCCCCAGAGCCCCTTCTCCACCCAGCAAGAAACCAGACCCTGGGGCATTCGGATGAGATGCCCACCCGGGGGCGTCCCTGCCCCGGGCTCCAGCCAGCCCTGCCGTGGGGTCCGGCAACCCCGGTTCCCAATGTCTCCTGCCCAGTGCCTCTCCTCCAAGTCCCCCCCAGATCCCATCTCACATGTCGCCTGGGACTTCCAACGGGGCTGGCCCCTCGCTTAGAGCCTGCGCCCATCCTGTTAGGACACAGGCCCCTGAGGGGGTGTGGATGCCAGGCTGGCACAAGCCCGCTGGCCACCCCGGTTCCGGGGGGAAGGGTGCGCCCGGAGTGCCCAAGAGCCGCGATGGGAAAGCTCTCCCGGGCAGGGCGCACGGACCTCCCCACCAGCCCTGCCGGAGCCTGTGGCCCCCGGGCTTGTGAGCGCCGGGGAAATTAATTCCAAGGCTACAGCCACCTGGGCACTCCTCCAGCAGGAGGCCTGAGGGTTTCCCCTCGGGGACGCGTCCTCGGGGACTCACGGGCCAAGCTCAGAGGACGTGCCCCGTGTAACGCTCTGCATCTCTGCACTGTGACGGGAAGGTAGACTCTGCAGAGAGAACGCCACTCGGGGACCCGCCTGGGGCCAGGGACGCCAGGACAGTGCCCCAAGGGAGTGTTGGGCGGGGCCTGTTGGGGCCGCCGGCCCCTCCTCAGTGACCTGGGGTTCCGCTAAAGGCCCGGAGAGCTCCCAAGCATGCAGACACCGGCCCCTCAGGGGACCTACGCACCTGGGCCTCACACACTTCTTATAAACGTCACTGGCGCAAAGAGGCACAGCACACGCTCATGAATAGTCACAGGACAACCGCGGTCTGGCCTGTAAACTCCATCC